CAGGGGTTCCAAGCTGACGATGTTCGTGAATACAGTGTCAAAAGCTGGCTGGAGATCGTCAAAGTCATAGTAGATATCATATCGGCATTATCATACGGAGTAGTCAAGCTTTCTCTCTGCCCTGCCGGTCGCACGCGAAAGATTATCAACCCAGCAGACCATCACCACGAAAGACAAAGTTCAAAGTGAAGGCGCCATAATCCCTATAGAATCAAGCACCAATGATCTTATAATTCCCACCCCCAAGCATCTCTAATTTCCCCTTTGCAACCATTTTCCCCAGGAATTCCTTCAACTCCTCCGAGCTAAAGGGAAACCCACCCGGTACCGCAATTTTCAGCATCATAATAATCCGCTGGAGAGGCATTGCGCCCTGATTCGTCAACATTCCCACAATAAATTGCCAATATACATTCATTTTTTCCATGGCGGCTGCTTCTGCAGATTCGCGCGCCGCTTCAGCCTCGGCAGCTGCAGCTGCAGCAGAGGCTTCCGAGATATTGGTAGTTTTGTCTCCGGGCTGGGCTCCTACACCAGCGGGCTGGGATACGCTTTCTTCGTTATCGGGAAGGGTTTCGAGAACGGAGAAAATGTCCAGCGCGGACTCAGCGAGAATACGCTTGCTAAGCCAGAAGAGACAGGCGCTCCGGACGAGAGATGGGGACATCTCGAGTTCTTCGGCTAGTTCGGAGACAGACTTAGTGACCGGCGAATCAGTCGAGCTCGGTGAACATGACTGGAATGCGTAAATAACACTGGCCTGCCAAGGAGTCACTTCGTCGCTGAAGAACCGATCTGTGAGATCGAGTTCAACGGTAACAGATCCCAAACTATTGAGCCAAGTAAGTTTGCGAGATGGTTTCAGTGTCTCAAAGCCTGCGGAATATCTGGCCTGCAAAGACGCAATTTCCTCGGGAACCTTGAAATTCTGATCGGATAGTGATGGCCAGAATAAGCGTGAGAGAATCTTAGCATGTATTTCCGGCACCTCCTCATGCGGACTGCCGTTTAGAGAACCCAAATTTTGGTCTGCACGGATCACAGTATCCACCCGCTTGGAGTCGACAACATCACGCATCATAACGTCACAAGCTTGCAGGGCGGATTCTCCAAACCGCAACTTGAGCAGTTCCAACACAGAGATTTCCAGATCATAGTCTCTCTTTTTCTTCAATAGACGGTCGCTGAGAACCCGTTGAAGCTCTTTGACGAAAACTTCTTTTGATTCGAAAAGACTGACTAAACTTCCAATAACATCGGAATGTTTCGACTTCTTGTAATCCGCGGCTGCGTCAATCGGGTCCGGAATCCAGTTCATATCGTCCCAATCAAGTTCGCCACCACCTTCTTGAAGTGCTAACTGGTGTGCCTTGGAGAGTTCAACAGCAAGCTCGCCCAAGGCATCGGGGACACTTGGGATCTGTTCCCCATCGGGATCTGTATTAGCTAGTAGCCCACTCACAATCACTTTCACCGTGTCATCGCGCTCTCGTAAGTACCGGCGGATAGGGCGTGCGAGTCGATCAAGAAGGACCCCTCTCGGATCCAATTGGGTAAAGGCGTGGATGATCGAGATGTATACCTGAAGTATATCAATTGTAGAGGCTCCAGGATGAAGGAGTCGATTCATCAGAGTTCCAGCGAATGCACTTGTAAGATAGAACCGAGTAGAGGGACTAGTGATATAATGTTTCAGATCTTCGATCGCGCCGGAGCTAGCATCCCATTCGACAATGATTTCAAACAATTCGCTAATTCGAAGGGCTCCTAACCGAGCGAGGCCAATCTCTTGCCATTTCTCGACATCATTAAGTGTTACGATGAGCTCGTCTGGTAATATATCCTCATCCTCTGAGATCGTGAATATATCCAGTACCTGAACGACCAATCGGGCAAACACATTTTCGATCCATTGCCGCAAATGGTCCAACACAAACGACGGGGCTTCCCATTCTCCGGCGTATGAAGCGTTGACAAATTCAGTTATTAGATTATTCATGACCTCTGCAAACACCTTCTGGGCTTTGCTTCCCCCAAGTCCTACGCTTTGAACATCCTCAAGCAGGCGTAGTAATCGATGACGTGCTGCAGTAACAACGCCGTCTTCACCCTCTGTCATCATGCTTATTCGACGCTTCGACGACACTTCATTCTTCCAATCCCTGTATGACATTGAGTATGTCTGGTCGAGGTCCATGCTATCGCCCCTGCCTTCATTTTCCAGGGTGTGGTCATGGGGTTGTGGAGACCCAGTTCCACTCCTGATATCAGCGTGAATTCCAAGAATAGCCCCCCCTTCCGTAGCCAATTCCTCAGCAAGAAGGCGTGAAAAATCCGACCTAGGTAAAGAATATGCTGTGATGGAATGTAAACATTGTTGTAACTTCGCACAGGCGTGACGATGCGACGCTGGATTCAAGTATGGTAATATATGATCGAGAAAGGGCGTGTAGTATAGATTTTGGGAAAGTTTAAGAAACCGAATTATTCTCGGAAACACTCCTTTCTGGTCCTTTTTCTTTAGCTCCTAAATCACAAGTCAGTTCTGTGACCCAGATGGACGCCGATTTCATAAGGTTTATATCAACCTGGACAAGAGCACCCCGGAAATTCGTCAAGAAATGCCTGCGAACTTCATTCATATACCACTCTTGCAGGTCACACTCCTTGGATCCAGCTCGAAGCTGCTTTCCAATCGACGAGTCGGATCCAACGTAACATAGAGCTTCTATAACGCTCTGCGATGGCAGTGTTTCCCGGGGCCATTGCTGAAACAAACATTCGTCGCTTATTTCGTCACTGGCGGTGCAGTAGCTAGGCTTCTTGTCTGGGATTGACAGGAAAGCTGTTGCAGTATGCCATGCCCGGTCCCAAGTCGCTTGTTCAGGCGCGGCATCTATGTGGGAAGAAGGAAGTGCAGATTGCTGCTGGGCAGGAGACCGGATGGAGCTTGGGATGGAGGTTGCATCGGGCTTTGGCGGAATGCTGCTCAAGGGAACCGGCGGGAATACCGAGTCAAAAACGCGCTTGCGGCCAATCGAGAGCGGGACATTGGGAAACATGGCGGGAAAAGAGGGACGACTCCCATTGGGGACAATCGAGTACGAGGATAGCAGACCTCGGCACACTTGACAGAAGCAATAAATTGGCGCGGCACTGGGATGCCACTCGTCCGTTCGACGTTGCTGCTGCTCAACACAAGTGGTGACGGTGGGCTCCAGGCCAAACGCGATATCACGTGACCCTTCTGCGGGAGTGTGAAGGGCGTTGAGGGAAGTGACGGTTTGCCTTGGATGATAAATTGCACAGCTCTCATCGTTTATGTACACTCGTTATATCAGCTATATAAACCAAGTTGACGTATCTTCTGTATGAATGCAATCAACGCCAGTGCAATATATGTATGTCTGAAATGCAAGAATATCCACGTTATCGATCCTCCTCCACTTTCTCCCACTCGCTATCCGTGCTAACATAGCCCGAGCTATCATGAGCGTTGCGCTGTCTTAGTTCTCCACCACGGTCTTCTGGAACGGTTTGAGTGGCCGGCTGATTCGGTGCCGCAGGTGTGGATTCCCTCTTCAGCAAGGATGGGGGTGGTTTTCGAGCCGCGGCCGCGTTACCAAGTGCCGTTGTAGTCGCCGTAGATACCTTGACATCTCCAGCACCCACTATACTCTCGGTTTCAGTCTCGCTCTCAGAGGTGTCCAGGGCACCTGGCGGCCGATTCAACGGTTCAGTAGCAGACTGGCTCAAATCTCGTCTGCCTCGTGCCTCGTTCGCTTTGGCCGCATCGAGTTCCGCCACGAACCAATTTATGGACCACCATAGCGCGCCACATAGACCGGAAAGAACAGCGAAATGAATGCTGTATGTTGCAAAAAGGAGGGCTAAGAGGAGCACCTGGAGTGCCGCGAAAGTCGCGTTGGTCGCGATGAGCAGAGTTGGAGTTGTCCCCGGCGTGAAGACGCTGGACCAAAGGTCCGTCATAAAAGAAGCCATAAGAGATAACGTCTATCCAGTACCGGGGCGGGGCCGTCTGGGACACTTGCACTTGACGTGTGCAGATGCCAATCGGGGCGAGAGTGGTTTTAGAAGCGCAAGATCCCCGAAATGCTGCCTGTCGCGCGGGAGACAGGCGAAGGGCAGGAAAACCAGAATGAAACAACGGTATCTTTTTCAGTCACTTTCAATCAGTGTCATTATTTGCGTGCCTCACTTGTGTCGACAGTTGGGCAAGGGAGGTGGAGGGGTCAGGTGCTAACTAGGGAGCAGCGCAAGGAACCTCGTCCGAGTTCGCAGCTCCAGCTCATCATTGGGCCCAAATCAGGCGCCGCTTGCTGGTTGTCAAAGAAGATTCAAGTCATAAGCACTGGGCAAAGCTCCAGACAGGTATATCAAAGGACCACTGGCAATGATAGGGTCTTCTGGAATATTGTCTCTGTTGAAATCTCACACGAGATCGCATCCAGTCAACATTGGCGGCGTCACGCGCTGTCTTTGTTTGGGGCAGGGTCACCTGTATTAAGATGACTAATCTGGTTGGATTATGTAACTAGTTATCACGTGGTACCCTTGCGCTGATGTCATCCTCCGAGTCCATCTTCATCAACAGCGCAGCTTCAAGCTTCAGACGGGAACATTCCTAGCTTCACGGCCCCATTTACCTCTGGCTTTTACCAGCAGCTGAAGGTTGCCATATGTGGCGCCCGACGAGGGCCATTGCCGATACAATCACCAAGCTCAACGGCTCTTCAAGCTTGTGCCTGAAAATGAGCCTTGCGGCCCTCCCTACTGAGCTCTTGGAGCTCATATTGGATGACTTTATCCCACCAGATTGGAACTTGTATGCAACGGATGATGACTTACGCTGGTTTAAATTGAGGCTAGTCTGTAGTGAGTTATAGCAGGACTGACATGCTCCCACGAAGCGCTAACGCAGCTCCTTCTCCATCTGATTAGGTAGATTTGATGCCATACTCTCACGTCAAGCATTCCGGAAATTGCACTCTTTTTCCCTCTGCTACACAGCTCGGCACATAACCCCGGCCGCCAAGAATTGGTTATTGAATCAAAAATTATTGCTGCTCGAGCGCAAACTAGGCTGTTACCATGAAGTCGGGTCTCCTAACGGCGGGAGCAGGCCCGGTGCCAGTGATGACCACGCTACATCCACAAGCCTACTTACTAATGTCCATGGAGTGGAGCTCGGAATATGCTACCAAATAGCATACGCGTCTGACCTTGCGTTGTACCAGCGATACTTTAAAGAAAGACTCTCCTTAGCGGCGTACCGTGGCGATATAGCCGCCGTAGCGTCGCTTATTGCGCAGGGAACCGATGTGAAATGCCAAAAACATGTGGTTCGGCCCTCCAATTATACCGCCGCCGGTGGGTAGGGGAAAACACGCCCATTGTCAGCCTGTTTGCTAAGTTATGGGGGCCGATCCGATTAAATCAACGCTTTCCAGATAACCCATTATTCTTGGCTGTGAGGCGGAAACAACGACCAAATAGTCCGGTTACTTATGCAAACCGAGAACTTTGATCCCCAATGCATGCAATACATCTGGACATACCGCCCTTTGTTTAGCTTGCTTCCATGGATTCCCTAGCGTTGTATGCGCCCTTCTGGAGCACAAAGCCACAGACCCAATCCTGGAATGTGCAGAGGAGTCCCCACTTTGTATTGCTGCCGGCCAAGGGAACGAGGATGTCGTTCGAATGCTTTTAGAACGACCCAATGTAACAATCGGTCATGAGGGCACAATAAGTTGTCCGTTGTGGTATGCCGCTTATTTTGGGCACGCCGGGGTCTTGCGACTACTCCTAGACAAGTTTCCTGTCTGTCCAGATAAGTACGGACTCGCCCCCAGGACCCTTCTATGGTTCGCGGCATGCCAGGGCCACACGTCTGTTGTACAAATGCTCTTGGAGCGCGATGATGTCAATCCCAACTGCCATGATTCCGAAGGCAATACCGCTTTATTGATAGCTACCAGGAATGGACATCATGAAATAGTGCAGCTTCTACTCCAGCGGGACGACCTGAACCCAAATATAAAGTCTTCTATGAACTATACGCCGCTTTTTGAAGCTGCTTTCAAAGGCCACGAAGCTATCGTCAGGTCATTGCTACAGTGTCCAGCGGTAGATCCAAATTTGGGCGGGTGCTTTGACCAATCCCCGATCTCTGTGGCTGCTGAGTATGGCCTCACAAAGATAGTGGGCATCTTCGTGGAGAGAAAGGATATCAATGTCAATTCACAAAACCGACACCGGCGCACCCCACTCTCATTCGCCTGCGAGAAAGGTAATGATGAAATGGTTCGTCTATTGTTAACGCGTGAGGATATCGTGTTAGATATACCAGATGCTTGGGGCTACGTCCCTCTAATGTGGGCATTTCGAGAGGCGTATACAGATATTATACTTATGCTGCTTGAACGTCAACTGGCCGCACCGGTATCGGTTATACCGAAGAAAGTCGACTCGAAATGGAAGCGACTATTAACTCAGACCCTTTTCCGCCGTCCAGAAACTAAAATTAGCGCACAAACGAAACCACAAAACGAAAGTCGAATAGCAACGAGGTGGAAACACAGAGTGGGTGCAGAAATGCTTCAGGGTTGGCTTTTCTAGGAACCCAAGTATAATTTGCTCAAGGGCAATCTGCAAAAATAGACCAAGAAGGTTTGAGAAAGATCTGAGAAGTTTGGGCGTCTCATCTCCACGTTGCGAGAGCCCCTTGGTGTGTTCCGCAACTAGGAGGACCGGTGTTAATTTGGGACTTTGGAGACAATTGTGACCCTGCTATATGATCTGTCCTCCTTGGAGTCCTTGGGGGTAATTCGGAAGCAAGGATCCCGCAAATCTATGGGAAATCGAATTAAGCTCCAGTCCAGCGTCGGTCAAAGTCTGTCCATACAAGCACGAAATGGCATGAATCAAGCTTATTGCGAATAAGCATTCCGTGGCTTGCCAAGAATGTAACTTTATCCAAGATATGGCAGCGACCATTAATTCGCTCGCGAATATGCTGCTACTATCTTCTGTCAGGGCTAGTCAAATGGTGTGCATGCCTAACTGATTCATATGGAATCCCGGATCTAACCTGTTCTCCCATCCACGTCGAGCCATTCGAGATCACTTCCTCCGTTGAGCCTGGGGGTATTAATACTCAGATCGCCTTTGCAGAATATGAGTGTCGATCACAATGTGCCATAGGAACCGTTTATGAGCTGAAAAACTGGACACGCTTGGTCCGGGCGCTCAGAGTGCAAGGCTGATGGATTACAGCCACTCCTCATGTTCTTGCACGGTCTTGCGGTTTTCTCTTGCTGTCCACGGAGTACACCACAAAGCTTTCACAACCGTGAATTCTTTTCAATGTGTCATTGTCTTTTGTCGATTAGCCCTTCTCTAACCCCTTGTCTAGAGTCCAGCTAACCCACAGAGAACGCAAACTGTCAGTTCCATCTCAAATAACGTTGGTACAGTCTTTAAAACTACTGCTGTTGGTTTCGCACTGCGCGCCCATGCTCCTGCAAAACACGTCTCAGATTAGAAACCTAGAGATTCGAGCAAACGTTGGACAGCATCATGTATATCTTTGGTGTGGGATATTTTGCTATTTGCGGAAACCCTCGGTCCCGATGCAGGGATGCTGGAGATGCAGTGTTTCCGATATACTGCAGAATAAATTTCGGCATCGGTCACTTCCAAGTTCCCGCAGGTGGCTCTTGTGTGTCACCGTTCCCTGGGGCTCCTGCATCGAATCCTGTAACAGGCCCCATGTTGGCACCGGCCCGTCGTTACCAACCGTTCGAGTTGCAGGCCTTAACCCCGCATACATTCTCGTACCGCGCGCTCGGGTCATATAGCTAGATCGCTGGTACGGAGTAACAGTGTTTCCGATCAGCGATTGTTCAACCACCCGATGCTAACTATCATTGCGATTTTAAAAAAAAAAAAAAAACACTGCCCTTTTTATCCCCTTGCTGTGAAGCCCCCCGTGGGGGCTGCTAACAAAGCCACTCAACCCATTCCAATCGCATCGAAACACCATGCACCTTTCACGAAACAGTACTTGGATAAAAGAAAGGGGGGGCACTCCTGCTCTCCAAACATTGCCTTTGTGGTGTTTCCAAGCTTGAAATAGAACGCTTCTCAGGTTTCGGAAATTAAGCCTCCCGCACCACGTTTCCCAACACTCTTCGCAAGGCAACCTCATTTCCCTCTCTCTCCTATTTTTAGAGGCCAACCATGATAAAAGCGCCATCTTTCTCGAAAGCCTTCCGTCTCCTATCTAAAATTTGCACTCCGAAGGGTACTACGGAGTAGTTGGCGTCCACATTTCTTGAAACCAGCGGTACCCAGTTTAGTTACTTTTAAAAATATCGCGCCAACGCGGGAAGAAAAAAAAAAAAAAAAAAAAAAACGGGGGCGGACCAATCTCAAAGACTGTTGCTTTTGACTCTTTGAGATTTCAGTAAACACGTCCTCCATGTTGGCATAGTTGAAACGCACTGCGCAAGTTTAGGAGAGGAATTGGCAAATTAGTTGAAATCGTGTCGCCGTATCAGGGAAAAGGGGCGGGGGGAACGGATAACTTAGGGGGTGCCATTGTTGACTTATAACTTATATGGAGTATGATTATGATTATTTTCAGTGTTATTAGTATTATTTTTACATCACCTTCCAGCCCAGGCTGTCGAACGTACTCCGTAGTCTTTTCGCTAAGGAATGCTGCGCCACAATACATGTACGAGGAATAGGGAAGGAAAACAAATAATCACAACAAGAATTATACACTAATGAACGAAAGGGCTGATTTGGGTAAATGCTTGAATCGAAACAAAATAAAAACGCCAGGAAATGGTCGCATAATGCCGGGACTCCGCAAATGGCGCAAGCATGCATAGAAACTCAGTAGACAGCCCCCATTTAGACAGAACTCCGTAGTCGCCTCAGCCTGAAGGACCCATGCCTCCCTGCTCCTCCTCCATTTGTCGTTTAACCTTACACTTCCCTTGCGTAAGATGGCCGTTTCGTGCCGTGGTTCTCGTGAAAACGGTCCCACAGTAGGGACATTCAGACTTTGCTGCAAGACCTGCCTTCTCTCGCTGATGTCGGAGGAGGTTGCTAAAGGTGGAGAATTCTCGGCCATTACATCCGTGGTCCCAGCATTGTGGTTTTCGTCCTGGAGTTCACGACGCGGACTTGGATACCTGTTCCAGTGGAGGGATCGGACATGGTAGGAACTGGTGTTGAAGAATCGATGAGGCGACCGGGTAGTTTGAGCCGGGAAAAGACTCGTGAGGGTAAAAGTGAGAGCTAGATAGATATCGAGAATTTAGCCCAGTTGAAGCATAGAGACGATAGCATTACGTACGATTCATCGGATTGGGTAGAAGGGACGACAGGAACAGATGATCTGGTGGTCCGTGATGTTAGCCGTAGATCAAATGGAATGCGTGGATATTGATGCTTACAAGGTCGAAGGGTATTGACTTGCAAGGCTGTGGGGAATATTAGACGACAATGAAGGGTTCGGGGAGACCGTTCTGGAGCATGTATCGGCGGTAATGGGATTCGTGAGCAGTGAGCTTTGTCTCAAGTGGGCGTGCGGACTCTGATGGAATCGAGCTCTGGAGATGGAGGATCCAGTTGAAAAGTGCGAATGGCCCGGATGGAAGTGAAGCTGCTGTAGAGAAAGATCGGAGGAGTCGTATGGACGTGAGCTTGCTAACGATGCAGTTCCAGGGTCCATAGCCTCAGAGCACTGGGCCATAGTCACCGGTACGCCATCGTCATAACTCTGTCCTGAATACATAGGAAGATTCCCGGATCCGTACTCTGAATTCATAATGATCAGATGATTTTCAAAATGCAAAATAGATTATGGAAGATTGAAGTATAGGAAATACTAACCTAATAAATCAGAGCGAGAAGGAAAGCCATAGCAAGCTTGGTCGTAATTGGTTGGAAATGGTGTTACTTCGTAACGGAAGTGGCTTCTTGTCAAGAGGTCCTCGAATCAATCATTGGCCGCCGTACGGGCAAGAATCAAGTAACTTACTCTGCCTCGTTCGCCGTTAGCTGGTTTGTCGCAGACGAACAATTCTCGTAAAAACTTCCATAGCAAGGTTCCGCAACAAATTCAGTTTCGAACTGACAGGGAGAATTTGCCGCAATCCTTGCTGCCATCATGTGAAAATGAGGTTGATGTTGTTGGCTCTGTGAGGCTTCTGTAGTCGTTTGCGAAAGATACGCGGATGTCATTACCGGAGATCCCTGCTGGGAAGACGGCAAGACGGCATGTGACGGAGGGGTTCTGGAGGATAGACTGAGGTTCTGAAAGGTTGAAGGCGAGAGAGAAGTCCGGGAGTCACGTCCAAAACTTCTTGATTTGCTGCGTGAAATGGTTTCTTTTCCTCCTTTGGAAGACTGCTCCGGGGCCATTCTAGTTTTAGGATAGGAAGAGCAAAGCGTAAAGGTAGCACTAGAAAGCTTGAGCCGGTGTGCCCTTAGTCTGATAAACCGTGATATATATCGTGCTTTCGGATCAACACGGCGAAGTTCACAGCCGGCTCTTGACTGTTCGAATGATATTGCAACAAAACGTCCAAATATAGGTCCAATATATCAAGCTTTCAACGTTAACTGTTGCTGTGACCTTGCTTCACGGTAAAGAAGACACCCCATGAGGCTTCAGCCACTGCTCACAGCCGCAAACGGAGGAAGAAGAAGTCTATCAGTTTGCAGATCTGTACCATGAGGACATCGCCTCGAAACTGCTGCAAAAGGATCAAATCTACCACAAGAAACCTGGGTCGAAGCAGCGCTTCTTGTAGGGCTAGTTGACGAGTTCGATGAGCCCTTTCCAGTGCCCATTGGCTGGCGTCGAACTCAGCCGTGGAGTGCGGGAATATCATTTTAGTCAACGCTATCCAGTTAGCCGCAAGTCCGGTGTTTTTCTTCAACGCTCTGCTCGTGACTCCACATGCTTGAGTTGCGAGAAAGATTATTTAAGAAAGGCAAAAAATTGACTGCGGTCCGCCACGTTGGCACACGATTATGAAGGCCGCCGTTGAGATTCTCGTACGTACGAAGTCGAACGACCCATCGTACAAGGGCATTTTAATTCGAGGCTTGGGGTTAGGATCCCTGGCGCTGCCAGCTTCTCCGGGTTTCACATACTTTTTGCTGATTTCTGCATCAACCCCTGACCTGGGAAGCTTCGATAGAAAAGGGGAACCTGAGAAGCACAATCCCTGAATCTCCCAAAAGTCATAGAGCTCCTGCAACGCATCCACTCTCCACATCCGCAACGTTTGACCTGTGACGGCGGCTAATATGGAATATTTCTAGAATCAGAGAATGTTTTGCAAATGGGAGTATAAAACCCTAGCTCAGCGTCCATCTTGGAGGCCCCAATTTCAGCCAAGGAGTGTTCCAGGGCTTGGCAGAGCCACATGCCTGCATGGTTTTAAGGTTGAGTGCGGATCTGGTCGACGGGATGATAATAATATTCAGCAGCGGATTTCTGAAGTCGAGCAGCAGCATAAAAATGCAGCGCCCCTGATAAACACCCTGGGTGGGAGGAAACGTGGCCAATCAAGGTTATAAATCTAAACAGTAAAAGGTCACAGTCCTGTCGGGGGCCAAACAGTCAACCACCAAGAATAGAAAACATGATCAGAGGTGCTCCATATATGTTCGCCCCCCGGAGAGTGTTTTGATAGGCTGATCATCGGATCAACCTTAGAGCTGGTGTGGAGGTCGTCGTATACGGGGAGCTGAACGTCCCGACCGTTGAACGGCGGCATTGGCGGGCCCTCGCGTTAGTTAGCATTGCGGTAAAAGGCCGGCCTAGTTAGAAATCCAGCTGGTAGGAGTCTGGGTTACACAGACACAGGCCGTTGACTGTGTAAAAGCGCTTCAGCCTTATGTTAGGTGATGTCCGTCCTTGTCCTCCCCACCGGCACCAACTCGCGTTAACATGATGGATATAAAATAGTGGGTCGGATCAACGTTTCTCCAGGCCACCCATACTATTTGTTACGTAAGCAGGGGCGCATCGAATCGCACCGCCAAAACCCCGTCGGACCACTTGAGACTATCACCAAAACACACCAAGGGTCTCTTGCAAAGTGGAGATGAGGCCCCCAAACTTCTCGGATCTTTCTCAAGCCTTCTTGGGTCGTTTTTCAGATTGCCCTTGAGCAAATTATACTTGGGTTCCTAGAAAAGCCAACCCTGAAGCGTTTTTGCATCGCCATCTGTGCTGGCCACTTTTCCAAGCCTCGATGCACGATAAGAAGCTTAAGTTTGGGCAGTCTCGTTTGATACGGTCCAAAGGCGAGCTGGGAGCAAGGCTTGAGACATGCTGGTCTTCCTCACAAAAACTTTTGGTCACTCCATCTTGTGCATGAAAAATTTGACAATTGACACTGCTTTAACAAGGAGCCCCAGTCAAAAATCAACGTCACCAAGGGACAGTGTCATTTGAGAAAGGCAAAGTTCTTTGCTTTTTTTGGCACGTGGTTTGCATGGGCTGTCAGGCATATTCTCCTTTTTCTTTCTTTCGGTCTGCAAGATGGCCAAGGGCCCCTTTTTCCCTGGTTTCTCACCATCCATTTCAACTGGACTCAAGAGCAAGTTTAAGCGGCAGATACGACCGCTGTTGATCAAATCATTGTTTGACAAAATTCACAACATCCAGCTAGGTCTTGCAACAGGAGTCAGCCATGGACCATAGTGTATTCCATTGTGTCAGGTTTCGATGCGTCATCCCTCACAAAAGCGCACATGATATGTGGTGCATGTTGGGTCAATTTATCTACAGATGGAGTGGCCATTGCCATCCCCTTGTGAATTGCAGAGTATCGACTGGGAGACTCAAACATGCTATCAAAATCATGAATCTCTTGAGCAGCGGCGAACTGGGACCTGGTTCTCAGAATTCGACCCGCTCATGTGCATGTATCACACGATGACATGGATTATCACTTTGGGAGATTCCAAGCTTTGCCACCTTCCCATGCTCGTGTCACTCAAACAGGAGAGTAATACTCCGTAAAGGGCTGGGCCGTTCTCCAGAAACTTCAATAAATAATAACGAGTGTGTTATTGTTGTACAGTACGGAGTACGGAGTACAAGAAGAAAGACGCTGATTTTGAAGTTTCTCAGAAGGCGTTTTAAAAGGCTCGAAAAGTGGAAATCCAATATTCGACGGCCGACGCTCATTATAGCATAATATTCAGGCTAATACTCAAGAGGAAGGTTTTGGTCAAGCACCTTTTGCCAGACGAACAAAGCCTTTTCATCCTCGAGGTACTTTGTACTGCAAGACGTCTTAGCTCGAAACTTCATCGGGCTTTTTTGATTTGCGCTTTTTTCGTTGACCGATGAAGTACTGGCTGCCAACTGTCAACAGGTTGCAATTCACAGGTGAGTGTTCCGTACAGGCAACCTCATCATCGATCCTTCGAGTGGTAGCAAAAGGGGTAACTAATTATTCCGTAAACGGTATACCCTTGTCGTTGGTGCTTGTTCCGATATAACGGTTCAGTACCCGGACTCCTCAATAATGGAGACGGGAAGATGCGATGTCAGATATATCCGATATGACTCCTCTCCCGAGATTTCTCCTCCGCATTAAAATTTTGACATATCGAGAAAGATGGTACTATTCAAACGTTGGCCATTGATCCGGATCTGAAAAAGCGACGTTGCCGGCACGGGTGTTTGAACGCAGTGTCTTTTTTGTTTTCCGTATTCCGAGGCAGGAACTTGAAGCCGTCCGGGGGGGCAGAAACAAACAGGCCAAACATCGGAAGAACCGACCGAATTAGGCAAAGCGGCGGAAAAGACTTTCGTCGGAAAAGGCGCAGCTTCTCCGAACCTTGGAGTGCCCAATGCGCAAGATTTATTGGCTGGCGGGACTTGTGACGCGTGAAATCCATTATTTGCGCGCTAAGCGTGCAAGTGAAACACGGACCGAACTCTTTGTCGGCTCCCAAATTCTCAGTTCAAGGATTGTTGGCTAGCAGGCCGGTAACCGCAGTGCGCAGCATGTGTTCGCCCTGCGGTTGGTTGTGACGCATGAGTTATCGCGGAATAATAATACTTGCCAACAGTGATGCTGAGATATCTTTGTGTCTCTACACAGCCAGGCGAAATGCCGTTTGAGTACTCAGCTTTTGCACGTGGCTGTAGGGCTGCAGGGAAAATGAACCTGTCTTGGCTGAAGAAGGAGAAATCATTGGCCCGACTGTTCGACGCCAGGGGCGGCATGTTCCCGAAAGAAATAGGTTAATCATACCACGGCATTGCGTCTTGGATCTGAAGGGATAATTCAAGCCATCGACGTTTCCTGTCGTTCTGATATCAGAACAAGAGGTACGAGTGTTCCTAGGGCCGAGAAGAAGTGAGTTTAATTGGATATGATTGGTTACGGTCCACCTCTAGCCCCCAGGGAAGGAGTGACTTTGGGGTCCAGGGGAAAGTTTTCCAGTCGAAGAAAAGGGAGGGGACCCTCGATTCCATGGGACTCTTCTGTGATGACTTGACACAGTAGCTTCAATCACGAAAATGAATGAGAGATGAGGACAAATTTCAGTGGCCCATCATGTGAAGAGTTGAGCCAATGCAGCGATGAGGGAACAGGAGACCCCCTTACTACTCTGATGGCTAGGCGCAAGCCTTTCTTCATGGTCTAGCACATCCCGGTTCGTCAATAGTCGATTTCAGGGATATAACTGTAACCTGATATCATCGGGGATCTCCACTTTCCCTCTGTCGGCCCTTGGAAAAGGAAACTAACCAGCGAGGCTGTTCTAGCTTTGTGATGATATCCAGGATCAATAATAGGGGCTCTTCCCTGACTCATGCAAACAAGTCAAAGTCGTCAAATTTTGCCAATAGGAAGTCAGGACAACGGATGACTCATCCTGCAATTGCCTAGCCAATAGAAACTGACCATTTGTTTAGCTAAACATCACGTGTGCGGCAACGTAGCGCCAAGGTTCCATGCGCACTGATGAGTCAACTCGTCTCTGGCGACCTCCTCAGGCAAAACGGTTCGATATATAACACTGCTCGACTCTGGGGGAGCCTGAACCGCTACCAATGTTCGCCAGCAGCTGTTTTACTTAGTTACAAAAGCAATGATGATTTCCTTTCAGTGAACACCCGCTTTCCTGCCGGCTCAACCGATTGCGCCTGCTGTTATTCCCAGCTTTGGCCATTTGAACGTACTCACAATTGCTTGAACGTCCCTTCAAAATGACCCAGTTACTTTACCGCTTCTTTGGAGTTTGTCATTTACATACGGTTGTTGAGTTCTTCTGCTTTTTCCATTCCTACTGGCACATACGCATACGACGTGTTCGATGAATGAAGGGGCCCGGAGCCGGAGACAGTTGACACCAAAGTCTTGATCCATATTTGGTCTTTTGGAGCGTTCTGTATAACAGCTATTAGATATCAGTGATGGCCTCCGTCTTCACATACGACCCTGATCCGCCAAGGGTCTCTTCTCCGTGGTCCACATCAGGATCAACCACTCCTCGTCTCAGGAAGACTGCAAGTGGCTACCTAAGCACCGGGTCGCAGGATGCCAATGGCCCTGACCCTAGTGATCCTGGCTATTTGACATACCATGGCATCACAAAACTCGACGTCGAACCCCAAGACGGGCCGATAGAGTATAAACTTCATTTATTACTGCGCCCTCGCCGGTCGTTTATATCCCTATCAACAGGGAGTCTAATATCAGGGTCACACCACTCTAAATCAGGCCCGGATGTCTCTCAGTCGCCACAAGAACATCTTGATTCACAATCTAAGACTCCACTGTCGTCGTCCAATCAGACTCGGCAGCATAGATTACATCAACTTACAACTCAGCTTCTGTGGCGCTTACAGCAATCTTCTCCATTTCATTCTTCTTCTACCACGGCAGATTTAGTATTGCCGGTACTGCCAGAGGCAACTCCGACGTTGAATGTCCCCAAAGCTCTCTCTCCTCTTCTTCCAGGACTGGAAGAGAGTCAAGGGGCCTTGTATGAAATTGGGGTTTCTGATGACGGAACCTTCGTTGGTTTGGCTGAAGACGAATTGAACGAGAGTCTAGTCAATTTGCAAGCCATGGCCGCGAGCTTGGGCTGTAAAATCGAAGTTCTGCGCAAAGTTGCAGTGGGGTTCTGTGAGTGGCTTGAAATTGGGACAACAGATCATAAACCCTTAACAGTTCGGGGTAAATTATGGGTAGCAGAAGTCCTGGTGCGGCCAGATTTAAGGGACGGCACCGATGAACTTTTGGTTGGTGATGTTTCAGAGGCCCAGTCCCAGGACGAACCGATTGGAGTTGCAACGCACAAAGCAGCACTAGATCCCGCTCGGCTTACTGAGCAGCTTCACGTTGCGATTATTGGCTCTTCCGGCGCCGGGAAGTCTTCCTTGTTAGGGATACTATCCACATCGTCCCATGATAACGGGCGGGGGAAAAGCAGGATCAGCCTCCTAAAGCATCGCCATGAGATCGCTACTGGAGTCACAAGCTCTGTTGCGCACGAGTTGATCGGATACTCTGGACCGTCTACAACAAGCGAAATACCCAAGGTTGTCAATTATGCCTCCGGAAACGTGAGTGCTTGGAACGATATTCATGCGAGCGCGGCAGGAGGCAGACTTGTCTTTCTATCCGACCTCCCAGGGTCTTTTAGATACAACAAATCGATGCTTCGGGGATTAATGAGCTGGGTACCCCATTACGTGCTACTTTGTATTCCTGCAAATGGCCCAGGGAGCGCTGAGCCGGGCGAGATCACTGAAGCCGACCTGACTCTTGCCTACCTTGATTTGTGTTTAAAATTGGATCTTCCCATTGTACTTGTTGTTACAAAACTGGACCTTTCGAATCAGTCGACAAAGACTACCTTGAATCTAAGCGTATCCGCCATTAAAGCAGCTGGAAGAAAACCATTTTTACGATTCCGTTCCGGCGAACCCAATTCAGATATTGATATTCAAGCAATATCTTCAAAGGATCAAGAAGATGCAGACGCTACAGTGGCTTCCATCGGCGACGGCGCTGCTGAGAGCGTTGTCCCGATTGTCCTGACAAGCGCAGTGACAGGAGTGGGTGTCGGCCAGTTACATGCCCTTCTTCGATCATTGCCACTTCCCACCCGCCCAGCGCTCAGCCCTCCTACCACCATCAACCAACCACTTCTCCATTTTCGATACGAGAAAGCTTTTGATATCAACGAGGTGTTTGAGATGCCACTGTCAAAAGTGTATTCAGCGTCAAATGAGACGAAACACCAGAACGATACTGGGATAATCCTTTGTGGACGTATGCGGCGAGGCACTATATCGGTTGGAGATTGCTTGGTTGTTGGACCTCTCCAGCCGGAATTGAAGCAAGAACACAAATCTAGCGATCATTTTGCACAACGGCCAAAAGCAACATGCAGCAAATCATTTCCTGATAATCTCACGTCTCTCCGGCTTCAGAGGCTGCAGTTGGATGCTTCTTGCCCTCATTTTGAAACTTATTGGCAAGAAGTGCGCGTTGTTAGCGTCCGAAACCTCAGACAACCGGTTAGATCGCTTCATGAACAACAGATTGGGACGATTGGTATCGACCCTATCGATTCGCACTGTTGCCTAGGGAAAATTCGCAAAGGGATGGTTCTATCTGCTTTCAGTTCTTCTCCAGAGTCCCGTGCTCCCTTTCCGGCTTCACAGCCATATTTCCATACCGGCTTTGTTGGCACTTTTCCGGCCGCTGATTTCTTCGACTTGCCTTCTTCACCCACGGTTGGAAGTAATATGGTGGTTTACATCCGGTCTATTAGAGCTTCTGCTAAAGTATTATCAATCCACGGCATTGAGAATCCGCAAAATCGGTTTTCTGTAGCGGAGCCTGAGATATTCACACTTGATGGGCCAGATGACGATGCGAACCAGACTCCCGAACTCGGTACCAACGACCAAGGAGCAGCACCTGAGGTCAAAATTGCATTTTCTTTTGTTTCTTCAGTGGAATGGATAGAGGTGCCGTCTCGAGTTCTTGCAATGCCCTCGATGGCCAGCTCCGCCACTATGGCAATGAGCACTTCCCCGTCATCCTCAACGAGGGGAACACAGAGCTTGAGAGGCCTTGTGGGATGGGTATGTGATATTGTGCATGTTTGAATTTCGGTCTATAATTTGTGTTTAAGACTTGTTTCTTTCTATTTTTCCCCTGTCTTTTCCCTGCTCTCCTTGATTAGAGGAAAGAACAGGTATAGCATAACGTTTTGGTTTCAATCATATACATTGCTTTTGTACTCTGACCACTTTTAGTAGCTAGCCAACTAATTAGTTAGTCCTAAGGACAAACGAGGCATTGGCGGATTGCTTTGAGGCCTCTAGGAATTAGGGCACATTTCCTTATGGAGTCCTTGGAACCGTAGACTATAAGAGCGCAGCTCAGCTTCAATGATTCATTTTATATGGTCTATTAACTATTACTAGCCTGTTTGTGAAATCCATTTTTATATCGGTCCTGGACGAACTTGCCAATTTCTGGCCAGGTCACGTGGACGTTGTTTTAACTTCGACGCGCTTGAGTCGTTTGATCGGGAGCTCAAGCTCATCTCAAAGATACATCAGTCCTTCCAAGAGCCATTTACTTGTCATATATTCGAATATTTTAACAATTCTCACGGGTTCGCGGCAACCAAGATACCTTCATAGCAGCCTCAGACCGCGCACGGCTTTTCCACCATGAAGCTTGTCCGGTATGAAGCTCAAAATCTCGATGATTCAACCCCATCTTGATATGTTCCTTTTTTCGGGGCTAGGACTATCTCGTTGGCTAACCCGCTGCCTGCTACAGGTTTCTTATGAAATGCGCCAATGAAACGGTTACAATCGAGTTGAAAAATGGTATCTACTCCAGCGCTTCTTCTAGAACTATCTTCTCCCGCGCAAGCCGCAGCTGCAGCCGAATTCTTTTCGTCCAACCCGCATTTCCGCATCCGCTCTACTAACCACTTCTTTTTTCACATAGGCACAATCCTCCACGGCACAATTGCGTCCGTATCTCCGCAAATGAATACTGCCCTCCGCACGGTGAAAATGACGCCCAAGGGTCGAGAGCCGATCTCCCTTGACACAATCAATATCCGCGGCTCGACGATTCGATACTTCATCCTTCCTGACAGCCTACCGCTAGATACCCTGCTCATAGATGACACGCCGAAACCGAAGAATAAGGCGAAGAAAGAAACAGACCGTGGGCGTGGACGAGGCGGCCCCAGAGGCCGAGGTGGCAGAGGTCGGGGGCGCGGTAGGGGTCGTGGTTTCTAGATCGAGGGTTTGAGGGCAGCTATTCGTTTCGTTTTTTTTACCGTGAGCTTGGTGAATGGCATACCTGAATCCTGGAGCATGATGAATGGCGGGCAATATCACGCAACTGTTTTTCAAGTGCGTTTTACGTTGAAGTTGGGTTATTCTGGGTTGGTGAAAGGGCTTCGTGAGCATATTTCACTCTTCGACTGCGACGTTACGGTTATTTCAGCGCGTTTTCGCCAGTATTTGAGTGAGCTTACGCGGCGGGGGGGTAAGAAGGCTGCATTGCCAGCGGGATTAATTGAAGCTAGCTACCTTAGGGGTAATCGAACCCTGAAAGGCGAACTAAGCAGTTCGTGATACATAACAACTGCGGCGGCCACAGACATCTGAATCTAGACGATATTCCAGTGGAGCGATATCGCGTTCCAGCACAATATGTATTTAAAAAGCCCGTTCCCTCCAAACCCTTACAATTGCCAATTTTTCCCAGCCCGCTTTAGCACCGCTTCGACCAACAATCTCCGCATTCCATCCCAGTCCCCAGCTCCTAATGCGAGCGATAACCTCATCGGGTTTGTTTTGGGCGCAAAGTAATATATAAGCCACCCCGCGGCTAGGATTCAAGACATGCGGCAGCTCTTCTAAAAGTCGATTCGTAGTTTCCATACCATGTTCGCCGCCCGCGTAAGATAGCGAAAGTAGATGGGAATCCCGTTCGAATCGGGAGGTAACAATCCCAGGGCTGTCCGAGTCCGGACCAGGAAGGGATGGAAGCTCTGGCGTAGGCACATACGGTGGGTTGAAGATGAGGATATCCGCGATTCCAGTTCGGAGTGGAGAACACAAGTCTCCTGTTATAGCTGCAGCCATCTGTGCCTGTAAAGCGCTGTTTGCATCACCCTCGGCTTGCGGCGCTGATTGCAGCTTCTCTTCAAGAGCAATGCAAACTGTCTTTTCCGTCGCAGCACATGCATCGCTATTGGCATCAATTCCCAGAGTCAGTATATCCGACCTTCCAAGGATGTGCCTGGAGTTTGCCGCCACAAATGCGAGGACTACCCCCGATCCCGGCCCGATTTCAACAACCACCAGGGAGGGGGTGGCCTGGCAATCGGGTTGGGAATTGAATCGGTCGGAGAGCCATAATGTCTCTGAAGGCGAGGACAGAGTGTCCAACAGGAGATAGCTGTCTTCAGCTGGTTCATAGATGGTGTCAAAACACACATGCGACGTCGAGGGCGTCGGGAGCATTGGGACTGTACCAGGGATGGGGGGTTGTCATAGGCTATCGAAGGATATCATCCAACCCCATTGGCATTAGGGGGCCCGCTGCCTTTTCGCTTCAACAGATTGATCAGACTCGGGTGCCTGGGTCTCTCCTCGAGTTGTGATACATGAGAGAGTCTGCGATGGTAATTTTGCGGTACGTTTGACCTGCCAAGACCAAACTCCCATCCGGCAAGATTCTAGAATGTTTCCAAATATAGAATACTCAAGCACTATCCCCAAGATGAGCTAGCGTCTAATGCTTCCTGCTTAGTCATGTCGCTCGTCGTCGAGGAAACTGAAAACAATCCAAACATCTCGACTCTTGTTTGCCAGTCTGCTGGTCGGTCGGCGTCTGTCTAGCTAACGGAGCTCTGTGACAATCCCATCAATTTCTTCTTAGATCTACTCACTATGCAGAAGCGCACCAATGAGTCTCCCATGGACTTTGAGTGGCAGACGACTGCCCCTGGAGATGTTACGTCTCCGTTCTACCAGTTAGCCATGGAGCACGAGAAACAGAAGAAAAAGCGTGAGGAATTGGCCATGGTCACTCGAATTTGCACATTGGTACCAGGGTCAGCTGACAGTTCTTGCTCTTCAGGCCCGTTCAGCGTTTTCGATTCCCCTTCCAAACCGTCAAGTCCCGCCGTGACACATGAGACGAACTCCCAACGCTTCCTCTTTTCTCAGCCGTCAGGCGCAACTCCTGCTTTCCCAACTAGCTCGGCCTTTGCAACGCCGAGAAAAGTGAATTTCGACTTTTCCTCTGGCGCAGAAAATTCACCCGATGCTCACTTGAACGCTGACGACACTCCTGAACAACCTTCAAAATCCGAGCGAAGAAATTCCCTCTTTAACTTTTATGGGAGATTTGCACCGAGTCCTGGTCGTGGTGAAATTCCGCGAACGAATAAATTCTCGAATGTCGTCATTCAGAGGGTTCAAAAACGGAGAAAGAGAGGACGCGAGGTGGAGAAGCATATGCGCAAAGCTAGTATGGCCAGCGAGTCGAGCTCACGATCACCTAGTCGTGAGAGACATTCAACACGCCGACATACACCCAGAGAGGAGCAACAAAAGTCACAAGATATACCATTTTTCTCCCGGCTCTTTACCTTTCTCGAATCGCATCCACACATTCCCCGCATTTTGTCTTACTATGCCCAGTTTGCATTTAACCTTGTTCTCGCATTCTTGGGTCTTTACGTGATCGTTACCTTCTTGCTCGCCATACACCACGATATAACTCGCGAACGGGATCGGGTATCAGAGGGTATTCTAGCTGAAATGGCGGCATGCGCCAGAAACTATGTGGAGAATAGATGCAGCGGGGAAAGCGGAAAGAGATTACCAGCGCTGGAGACTGTCTGCAATAATTGGGAGCGATGCATGAATCAAGATCCGGCTAAAGTTGGCAAGGCGAAAGTCTCTGCGCAGACACTAGCGGAGATATTCAACAGCTTCATTGAGCCCATTAGTTTCAAAACTATGGTGTGTTCCGCTTCCCCTCCTCTCATTCTTCTTGGCCCGGTCACTTTCGGGAACCGACAGCTAATTCTTGCCTATAGATATTTTTCATCGCATCGATAACTTCGTGTGTGGCGGTTTCGAACCTGACGTTTTCTTTCTTCCGAAACAAATCTAATAACCCTCCCGAGCCGGTTTCATCATACAGGCCGTACGCCCCACCGGGCATGAATTCCCAGCCGTCGCACCTAACTTATGCAACTGGCCACACAGCTTTTGGAATGGGTGGTCCGTTTTACGGCCATCACCCTATGCATCATGCCAGCCAAGCATTCAACCAGAGCCCGTTCAAGTCGAAACCTGACTACGAAGACGAACCTCGACGGCAAATTGATATGAGACCGTTTGACGGACACATGGGGACGCCGAGCCCGTCGAAGCGGGATGTTAAATTTTCTTAGGGCCTTTTACCTTTCTAATTGCATCACCTGGTTCGTTTCTTCTTTGCTTTTTTCCTTTATTTCCTGCTAAACGAGTAGGAGTTCAAGCAGAACAGGGTGGGAGTCTTCATTTTGGTTGTGGTTTGCATCAGTGTAGGGAAGGATGGTAAAGGCGCGCTGGATGGATATTTGCATTACTTCCACCTATATATGCTACTTCTTGTTTCTGCGTTATATATCTTGGGCCGAATCTTGGGTTCAGGTCTTGAGGCGACTAGAAACCCAGAACTCCCGTTGGCCAATTATTTTATACCCTCGACTGTATCATAACTATGCAAAGGATAGTATTTTGTAACATTGGAAAGGCGACAAAGTAAAGTTGGCAGTTCCGTTAGCCAACAAAAATACTTTTTGCTTTCTTCCAGACCCTTATTCGCGTACTCACTTCAACGTCTTCGAGCTGGGAAACATCACCATAGTCTCGTCTTCCCGTCCAAATGTCCATATCCTCCAATTTCACAAACTTGGTCTTCTTGAACACTTTCCAAAACACGACAAAGAGCACAAAGACCGGTAGGAGAAGATAATTGACTACAAAATCTTCCGCGCTAAAGGGGTTTAGGAATGCTGTGTACCCCTGGAAAAAGATGAGAAATACGTTGGCTGCAAGAGCCAGATAAGTTCCGTAAGGATAGAGGATGGCTTTGAAGGGGAGATTTGACGCATCCTCGCCCTGTGCCGCGAGAGCTTGTCTGAAACGAATGTGAGTGATGCAGATAACTGCCCATACTAGAAAGGTTGCCACTGCTCTTTTTTTAGTACACAATGGTAACTCTATAAAGCACGTTGGGGAGGGAACGGGGGAAAAGGACGGACTCACCCCCGGACAAAGTAATCAACGCCGAGTAAACTTTACCCGCACTCGATGATAGCGACAGGAATGAAATACAAGCGAAGAGATTGGAAGCGAGAAGGGCAACCCATGGCACCCCAGCCTTATTAGTGCGGCCAACGAATTTTGGAGCCTTGCCAGTGCGTCCCAAGTAGAGCAAGGTACGTGAAGAGACATATAGCGAGCTATTACCGGCTGATATCACAGAGATTACGATCAAGGCATTGATCAGATGGGCCGCGGGTAGGATACCGGCGTCATTCAAGGCGATGGTAAGTGGTGACTGGGCAGTTTTGGAACCAGAAGCAAGAAGGCGATCGTCGTCGTATGGGATGAGAATCCCAATGAAAAACATCATTCCTATTTTGACGGTGTATTAGTTTTCTCCATGATTGTCAATGGCTGGAAATGAATTTGCTTACCAACGTAGAAAATCAGGATACGCCAAAATACCTGGCGGATGGCCCGAGGGACCGCTTTTAGAGGATTCGACGATTCGCCGGACGTGATACCAACCCTGTTGTCGTCAGCAGAGCACTAGCCTGACTGTTTTGGGTTGGTGGGTTTACATTTCAGTTCCTGCATAGAGGGTTCCGGCAATCACAAAAGTCCGTGCAACTCCATTGATAGAGTCGGCGAAGGCCCCTGGATGATCCCAGTATTTGAATCCAATCGTTTGGTCGCCTATTCCACCAGCGCTAATGCAAATGGCGAGAACAAAGAAGACTGTGAGGGAAATCACTTTGATCCTGCAAAGGATTAGTCTTGCTTCTCAGTCTCGGAATTGGACGGTAGGAACATACAATGCCAGCCAGAACTCGACCTCTCCGTAGGCGAGGACGCCTAGATTGGAGAGGACAAGGAAAATAACCCAGTATATTAGAATCCACGCCCACTGGGGGACAACATCGGTCCAGTATCCCATCACGAGGGACAAGGCATTGTATTCATTTGCTAAAACCTATGAATGCAGCCACAGGTTTTAGTATGCGCCTTGCGGCTTAAAACTGCTAGTCGAGACTTGGGAAACATAATCCTCACCGTGACCCAGAGATACCAATACGCCCAGCCCAGACCGAAAGCCAAAGAGTCATCGACAAATCGCGCTGCATAGTCAGTAAAAGACCCGGTGACTGGGATTAGGGTGGCTAGTTCTCCAAGCGATTGCCTGAGGGACGCGGCATCAGTTTACGAGTTGTCGTGATGAGCAGGACAATGCTTCTCGAGGGGGAGGGAGTAAGGCACACATGACGAAGAAGACGAGAATCCCAACAAGCGAGAAACTGATCAGGATACCGGCTGGTCCCGCTAAATGAAGCGCGTTTCCAGAGCCAACCAAGAGACCGGGACCGATGATGCCTGTTTCCGGGTGAGGTCAGCGAAACGTGGCGGACAGGGAACCGGACGTTATAAAGCTCTTGCGCTCTGTACCTCCAATGGCAATCATCTGCAGATGCCGCGACTTGAGTTTTCTGTGCAATGGCGCCGTAAAGGCGGCGCCGTCTTGCGAAGGGCCATGCTCAATGCACTTTTCGTCCTTGGAGAGCTTGGAGGCAGTGTCCAAAAGGTCTGTGCCACGGCTTGCCATGTTAACTGGCTGGTTGTCGGTCCCTTGCATAGGATAAGGAAGACGTCAGAGTTTCAAAGGCCCAAAAAATCAGTCCCTTGCAGGTGTATCTACCCTAGAACGACAGGGTGCACCAGTTGGGATTCCAACACACGAGGTGGTGTGTGAGGGGGATATAAGAGTGCGAGTGAGGTCGCGGGATGGTGCTTGTCATGGTGAAGGCTGGATGCTTCTTATCAAGCGGCACGAAGCCGGGCAGCGAGAGATATCTCATCGAATGAGGGCTCCAGAATAAAGCGCCAGGGAGCTGAAGTGCGTCGACGATTGTCTTCACCGCGTTGGGATGGCATCATCCGGGCCAAGACTGACGATCCACGCCAGGACGTTGCAGAGAGATGGCTTCATCCCCGCGCGCTAAAACATCCTCGTGCCAGAGAAGCAATTCCTCGTCCACTCCGAGTCTCTGCTCTCCGTTTAAGCCATCCTGGGCACACCTTGGCCGGAGAAGAGCGGCCAGTATCTCCACACCCGAGACCGGCAAACGCGCTGTGCTCGCAGGGACAAGGTCGTCCACGCGCTGGATCCGAGATCCTTCATGAGAGGAACCCTTGACCTTAACTAGACCTGATATCATCAGCCCTTATCAGCAACCGTCGAGAGAGTTTACCCTTGAAGATTCGGCTCGAGCTATCGACTCGTAGGGGCATCTCGAAACGGTAGCCTGAGAATCCTCGTATTTCTTGAACTCTCGACAGCTAATGCGAGATGGTGGCCAGATTTAGATCGACATTCTGTTTCTCACGACAACAGGACTATCCAGCGGGCCACGGATGAGTTGTGCTCTTGAAGACTTGAAGCTCGTGTGCATTTGAAGAAAATCGGCCATGGAATCGACAACACTGACTGGCTAAGTTATCGCTCAGATAGCTCCCCAGTAGTTATCGGCTCATGCCTCCGACGGTATGTACTTATCTCTTCCCATCTCCGTTTATCGCAGGTCCTCTATCTCACGTTCGTTGTGAAGCTAGACATCGAAGCTACAGGGCCTACCTCCTTGATACGTATCCATTTGTAGCGCAAGCTACTAGATAACTAGTGGTGGGAAAGGCCGATACGCAAATCAGTCCTCTGGCATGTCTCGAGCCCACCATCATCTTAGCGAATATTTTGACTATATGATATTTTCATAGCCATGACTGTCCTAACCGCGAATTCATATCTAAAAGCATTGCCTGGCAAAAATCTAGAGCAGGATAAAAATGGAGTCCAGCACTCTTGGGGTCAGTCTTCCACCATCGTTGGGTCTTCGAGGGTAGCCTTTGGCCCCTTGTACCACTTATTCGCAAAGAGGAAGTAATATGCTAGAGCGGAACCCCACAGGGTAACATTAATAACAACGGTATAGTTCATATCCATAGCTGCAGGAGGCGAGGTTAGTGTGTGAAATATGGAAAGCAGAGGAGGAGTGTTTTGGTTGGCTTACCTGAAGGGTTAGGTCCAAGCGTAGGGAACATGCAAAGGGTAATCGAGAAGCAGAGATAAACCAAGGCGGTGATGGCGATGGGCTTGCTGAAGCGCCCGGTATAAAAGGCTCCTGGTATAAATTTCTGCTGGCCCCAGAAAATCCGACAGAAGATGGGAATGGCCCAGGCCAGGTCATTACCTGCCACACACAGCGAGAACAAGGCATTTGCTGCGGCGGCGTTGATCAAGCACAACAGTCCAGTGATTATAGATGCAAAACAACAGCCCCAAACAGCGCGGATGGGCTGGCACCTGATTCGTTTGCTCACTACTCTCCAGTAATTGGAGAATGGCAGCGCTCCGTCCCGAGAAAATGCCCAGGTTTGCCGGGAGGCGGAAATAAGCTAAGCATCAAAATGGTGAGTAGGACAACAAAAATCGAGGGAGGGAGCAAGGCTGCATACAATACTCAAGCCCATGAAGAACTGCACCACAGCGAGGATGGTCATGAAAGCCAAAGCACCGTGTTTGCCTAACGCATCATGGTAAATCTGGGTAAGACGACCTAGGTTAGCCCTGGATAGAAAATGCAAGTAGAGAAGTGTTCCAGCGTACCTGTGCCATTGGTTGGCCGAACGGCGTATTCAGAATCGATTCAATATCCTTAGTCATGCACGCCGCAATGATGCACAAAGATAGGAAACCAAGAGACCAGCAACCGCCGATTGAACCCAAAATTCCGTAAGGGACCGCTTTGGCGGCGTTGGTGGCCTCTTCACTCATATGAACGCAGGAGTCGAAAGCTCCGATGGTCCAGATAGGGGAAAGCCACGCTAACATGAATGTCCATCCTGTAGGCCAGGCAGTAAGATTCTCCACATGCGTAAAGACATAAGCTCCTGAGTTGATTCCTTCAGCAGTCCTTGCCTTTCCAATGGGCAGCGCAATGGCCGTTGCTAATACCAGCCCAACGTTAGCAATAATGCAGGCGGACTGGATCCGATGCATGACGCCCGCTGCGAAAGTTGCAAGGATACCGAGAACAACGATGGTCCCACAAAATATACCGTATATGGCATAATTCGACGGAACCCAAGTGCCATCGCCACTCATTGACACAAGTGACAAAAGCATTTTGGCGAACCCATCTATTGCAATGTCAATGAGCAACCAAAATGCGTGGAAAGAGTGGCCACACGTACAGTTAATAGAGCACACTCCGCCAATCAGGCCAAGGGTGTTACTGTAACCCACTAAAAACGAAAGAGGGTTCTTCCACTTCTCTGCTGCAAAATAGTGCGTCCACCAGTACAGACCGCCCGATGTGGGAAGGGAGGAGCCAAGATCGGCCTATGTAGTTGAATCAGAACCGGCTGTATCTCCAATGCTCTTCATCTACTCACCATTGCGAGCCCAACGACAAAAATAAAACCGCTAGCCATAAACCAACTCTGCGTTTCGCCATACATAAGCCCATTTATGCTATTTTTGGTTCACAGGGGTAGAAGTGCTTTTTTACCCAAACCATCGCGGCTGGCCCGCCGGGGAGAGAAAATGCTAAGGTGGACGCGATTGAGGGCAAGAGGCCCATGATGCTAAAGGCGATGGCAAAAACCTGTATTGTCGAATAATGCCGGTGAAGTTCTTGTTTGTAACCCATCGCAGCTTCAAGAAGTCAGCATAATCCGCCACGGGAGCATTAGCAAGGCAAGCGGCTCACCGAGAACGTTTGCATCACCAGCGTCTACCTTCTCCATGTGCTCAGATAGAGCTTCGGAGGCCAGACCGGCCTTGATCTCATTGTCCCTCGCCATTGTCACAATAATAGTACGATAATCCCGGAATCAGTCAAACAGCAATGGCAGCTGGCTCCAAAAGGAAACACAGATCCTGGGGAAAGCCGCTTTTTGAGTAAACTGCCACTGTGGGGGATAGGAGGACCCATTTCCCCAAAACGCCACGTTCGTCCACCTGGGCCCTGAATGCATGGTTCCAAAGTATTCATGGAAAGTTGGTATGCCCATCATCGTTGACTATGTATCGATCTGGGCTGATGGACGACCCATTGACGACCCACTTGGAATGTTTTGGCCACAACTGCTGTTCAGATACATCTGGAGGTTGATATGTAAAGCAAATTTCCATAATCTGCCTATGAGGCACAGATGCTTCCATGAAAAGACGTAGGAATGACCCGGCCCAAAGACCTAGGGCTGAGCACAGAGCAGAGCTTTGTCGCTGGATTTCGATCCAAGTACGGTAGCGCCCCGATTTTGGGTGGTCGGAGCTGCAGGTCGAAAATCAGCAGATCCCGAGCTCCAAGAGCTTTTCGGGTGAAGTAGTTGGGTATACTCTGGACGATGCTTTCACCTCTGGTATATTTCATTGAAATTGGAGGTAGACCCGCAGCTGGGCGACATGGGATGTCCGGTTCCAGGTTCCAGAGAATGACTTTCAGACAGAAAACCCGAAGATAAGACAGTGGTCCTCGGGAGTGATAGGGGGTCGCTTGGTTTGTTGTGGCTCGGCTTGAGATTTTGATGGACGAGGCATCTCCATATTGAGGTTCGACAGCTTCCCCCGCATTTTCCCCCGCATCTATCTCCACAACGCCGGCCGATAGCATTCGCGGTGCAAGCAGTTGATCGTCTGAAACGGTCTGGTTGCCCCATTTTGCACCCATACTGACCGCCTGGTCTCTGTCTTCACGGGATGGGGGATACGAGAAAAGCTTGGCCTAGTGTATTCGTCGGGATGAGGAGGAGGCCATTGGGTCCTTCGCCGCCAAGGACATCAAGCTTTATTGCAGTGAGTTTCGGGCCAGCGGAGGTGCAAGAGACGGAGTCTGGTCGGCTTTTGAAGCGAGATGCGAAGCTGGGGGGAGGAGATTGGTGGTGAGGGTTCAACGGCAGCTCCAGGGGTATCGGTGCTTATAATGTTCCGGGAGTCACAGTATTAAAGAGCTTCTAACAATATTCTAATATGATCCTCTTCCTGATATCATGCTTTTCTTGGTGTTTAGCAAGCACCTTGCCAGAGAAGTCGAAGGCCATGTCTCTATATTTTTGCGCTGAGGAACAACGTGCGACCATCGAGCCCATTGAAGTGATGAATGGCTACTTCGGGGGCGAATGATTTCCCACAGTGGTTCTCGGTAGTTAATATGTCAACCAAGGCAGTTCGAATGGACCTTCATCCGAAACTCTGAATCACTCACTTCTTCCTTTCACTGTCCTTCAGTAAAGAACTCCAGGAATACCTTCAACTCTGCAACCATGTCTGGATTTAACCCACTTCCAGCGTGTCCGATTCCAATCCAATTTGATGTTGATTCTCAGATTAAGGAGCTCCAGGCCATGATTGACAGTCCCACTACCAGCGAGGAGCAGAAAACCAACCTGCGTGCTGCCATTGATCTCTACAACAAACATGTGCTCCCAGGACCCTGGAGACTCATTCAAGATGGCCAGGTTGTTTCACTCCAGGATGTTGATTTCCACCATGCTTGGTGGTCAGAAGTGTGTTTCTGTCTTTCCCCCATGTCAACAAACACTTGCTTATTCAAGTCTCCAGGGATATGCCCAACAGCTGTCATCACAGGCTGCAGCACCTAGCCTATGTTCTATTCCTTCTTGAGAGTGTGAGCACTTGCTTTCTCTGTTTCCCCAGTTCTCCTAATCTTCCAGTGCAAGTTCACTTAGGGCCTGTTCAGTTCGAGGTCGAATTCTTTTAACAGACCTTATAACAGCTGCTAAAAGGCCCTTATAAGCTTAAAGAGTTTTTTTAAAGGGTTGGGGGTTATATGTTTATTAGACCTAGCTCCTCACATTGTTTCTCATTTAAAAGGCTGTTGCTTTTTGAATTGCTGTGTCAATATTGTTTTATTAATTTCATATTTATTTGCAATAGCAGAGTAATTTCTAGTATCTTGAGCCTTCAATTCTTCAATCACTAAATCAACAGCTATTTTGTCAGACATGTTATCAAATTTTGAAGCTGGAAGGCCGAAAGTTGATGGATCATTGAGGGGCAAAAATCATTGGGTGGTCAAACAATGCTAACTAGTGTCCACTGTCACCCAAGTTTTTTATCTGAACTGCAACACACTAGGAATGCGAACCGCCTGAGTGTGCCTGAGCCTGGAGTGTCTCGCTGACTGAGCTTTGTTCACTGTTGTCTCCAGCCAAAAAAGGCTCTTCTGCATGTTTCTCCTTGATTTGAAAGTTCCAATTGGTGTCTATAGCTGTCAATAGGTGCTTCGCTTGTCCTGAAGCAATTGACAAAATGAGGTTCTCTCCTTTGCTGCGGATGGCCAGTTCTTCAACAATAACCTCTCCCTCGAGCCTGAGACCGGCTCCGCTTGCGCTGCTCCCTCCTCTCCCCCTTTATCGTCGTCTCTTGCGAGCCCACCGGAAACTTCCGCGGGAGCTTCGGCTCCTGGGCGATGAATACATAAAGGCAGAATTTCGAGCACATCGCGACGTGGAAAACCCGATCCACATTGTAAGTAGCTGTATTAGGCCTTCTACTCTGGTTTCAGCATTCTAACTGGGACTGGCACGATTTCTAGGTCGGATTTTTGACTGAATGGCAGCTGTACGCTCAGAAGCTAGAAGGCGATTCATGGCGAGACGAAAAGCTGGACAAAGCAAAACTGGAGAAAATGAGCGGTTCGTTGTCCATATCCCCCATCGGAAGCCTCGCGGCTATTCATTTTTTGACATTACTAACCTCAAATTCATTCAGACCAGCAAATCGCTCAGCTTTACGAACTTATGCAGGCAACCAAGGAAAAGGGCGACAAGGACAATGGTGACTCATAGCAGTGAAAGCAGCAGCGCGGAATGGGCAAAACATCGTCATTGTTACCGACAAAGCCAAATCGATTCATTGGGCTTGGTTAGAAGTGGCTGCGCACAACTGTGAAATCACATTGTTAGGCTTGGGCCCTTTCAAGAATGGGGCTTCTCCAATCGCTTGCCATCGCTATAAGATCGCCCCCTGCTTTACCGGCAATCTCAGCTTCGGGACCTCAGGTTATTCTGTCCGTGCTCGATTTGGACACCCGAACTTCGCTTCTCCTACTTCAGTTTCCAGCCCAGCCACCTGAGACGTCCATTACACCCGTCATCGCAAGCGCAGATATTGTTAGATACCTGTCGAAGCAACCAACGGGGCAATCCTCCCGGGCAGCCCTCTATCAAGGATGTGTCGCACGGTCTATTTCAGATCTACCACCTGTGATCATAGATGGGTCATAATCGGTCAACCATGCAAGAAGGACGCTGGGTTCACTGAATGCAAAATGCTGAATAGCAACGGAATCTTGCCATTTTCTGTCGGCGGGCCGATTGATGCCAAGGCGAATTCGTGCCCCGTGTGCAACAAAGGTGGCAGCTATGACAGAAACGAGATCAGGATGGTCGCAGTCGATTCGTATGGAGTGAGATATAGGATTCGCGGCGGGAGAAGGAAGCTGTACTACGATTGCGGATTGTGCAAAGTCATGTAAGGAGCATGTCGGCGTCTATGCACATGACTTTTCCGCTCGGCATAGCGATCCGAAGTTGGCGGACAAAGCCTCAGCTGAGTTGTGCGTCGTTGCCCATGGCGAGGTTGATGTCTGTGCTTTGGCATATCTACGGGCAAGCGGCGAGGCGGGCCTATTACATGAGAGATATTTTTAGGGGCGGAGTATGAGATCTTTTGTGGGCACTGGCTTTGTGCTTTTCTATACTTGATTTGTTCCCGAGTGAGCGTTTCGCATAACGTGGTCCATGCATTTCTATCCTGTTATCCAATTTCTATGCCGCCAAACCGTCGGCTCCTCAGAACAGCTTTTGAAGGACCGAGGCGACGATGTCCAATCCCGTTGATGTTCACAGTCGCATACCTGATATACCACCGAGCCCTCCACAGCCGGTTTCCATGCAACAGCCACTCCGTAGTTAACACACCTGTAGACTCGTGTTCCGCAAAGCCGGCCCCAGAGCCTCACTCGCATAGCGAATCGATCTAGATAGAGCAACGGCGAAACAACTTTGCCATGCCAGAACGTTGACTGAGGCTTCTCCACCACCCCGTCGACCAGAATTTCAGCTTCGGAGATTTAGGTTCGGCGATTTGCTTGTTCTGCTCGAGGCGTGTCGGCGTTTCCCGCCCATTCAATGTCTTCCCTCCGTCCAGGACCGAGACGGTCAGGGCTCATCGGCAAACCTGTTGTCGCCCGGGATCGCAACGATGTAGAGGGTACTTTTGATCGCAGTTTCTATCAAAACCGCGTCAAAACGGGCCAATCTACCCACCGCACGTCTCGAAAGAAGGCAAAGAGGTGACATTCTACTAAGAATGAAGCGCTGAATTGGGCCCTGGGGCGACCGAGAACTTGCGCTGCGTTTTCGACTAGTTTAAGCATCGCCTCGAAAATTCGGTTGCGGGGCCTTGCCGACCAGCGTTCCGCTTTCAAGGGTACCAGGTACCTTATCCCTCCCTAGGTCGCATTTCCCGTCGGTGCTTCCTGGCGTGATTATCGCAGGTCAAGGGGAGGGGGGGCGCTCATCCTGTCCTGACCTGGCGCCGAGAAAGGCCGGAGTGCTCATCGGCCAGATTTGCGGCAAGGCAACTGTTACAATGGAGATCACCTCGACGGGCCCCTTTCTTGCGCCACCGGACCCCGGATTTTCGAGATAAGGGTGCGGAGCAGATTCCGTCATCCATTTCTCGAGATGATGGGTATATATGAAGTCGTGCTCCCGGCCGCCTGCTCTCAGAGTCAAGTTCATGGGAGCCAGCAATCTTCGGACACCCTGAGACCTTTTCTGTAACCCTCCCTTCCAAAGGCCAATTGTTACCACCCCCCGTTTTTCTCACACTGAGCCCTCTGGCAATATGGCACCAGTCGTCTACGAGAGCGCCCCTGTCTCTGGCAGCGGAACCCAGAAGCCCAGCGCGCCATTGAGCTTGTTCCCAGATGGCCTAAAGACCACGGGGCAGCACCCTCCGCTTTACGACCAGATCAAACCCTTCTCGGAGTTTCCCAAGGAGATTACCGGTCCAACAGTATGGAAGGCAGAGGACTACAAAGACTGTCCCGAGAAGTGGACGCATTGGTTTACTGACGAGGAGATTGCTGAGCTGAGTGCTGCAGCCGATGCTTTCATTGCAGCAGGCACCCCATTGACGGGGATTACCAAGGTGAATTTGGAATCTTACCCGGGTTTAGTGAGGGATCATTCTCTAATCAATTTCCCAGGCATTGTTCCCTCTGCCCACATTCTCGGCCTTTTTGCACGAACTTCATGATGAGCTTCTTGATGGGAGAGGTTTCATTCTTTTCAAGGGGCTTCCAGTTCAGCAATGGGGAAACCATAAATCCGCTGTGGCATATATGGGAATTGGAACCTACCTAGGGTATTTCGTCAGCCAGAACGGCAGGGGTCATGTGCTTGGCCACGTCAAGGATCTTGGAGAAGATTCGGGAAAGATTGACAAGGTGCGGATATACCGGACGAATGCACGGTATGTTTGAACCTCGAGCAATAAGCAGGGATTTGCGTCGGTGACTGATGTTCCTGGCAGTCAATTCTTCCATACCGACGATGGGGACGTCGTCGGCCTGCTTTGCGTCGCAAAGGCTCTGGAAGGAGGAGAGTCTGATATCATTTCATCCCACCATGTTTACAACGTTCTCGCAAAGGAACGCCCAGATGTTCTCGAGACCCTCACGCAGCCCATCTGGTATGTTGACCGAAAGGGCGAAACCAGCATCGGCCAAGAAGAGTACATTCGGGCCTCTATCATGTACCTCGAGAACGGCGGCAAAGGCCGAGTTTATACAAAGTACGTTCCTTCCTCCAAACCCCCCTCATTTTCATTGTCGGACAGAAAGTTGATCGTCGTCCACAAAGATGGGACCCGTACTACGTTCGCTCCCTGGACAGATTCTCCGATGCAGGAATCATCCCCCCACTCTCCCCCGCCCAAATCGAGGCCATGAACGTCCTTGAGGAAACGTGCTTGAGACTCTCGCTCCACATGATCCTTGATGTTGGCGACATCCAATTCCTTTCAAACTCGCAGGTCCTCCACGCTCGCACTGCGTACAAGGACTATCCCCCACCAGCACCCCGCCGACACCTCATGAGATTGTGGCTGGCCACACCAGAAAGCGAGGGCGGCTGGAAGATCCCATTCTGGGACAGCGATGAGAAGAAGCGGGGTGGCATCCAGGTCAATGACCAACCCCCTGTGGCGCCATTGGACGCCGAATAAGAGGTAGCAACATCTCTTTTTGTACAGTGCGATTTACCATGTACTCAGACTTTTGTGTTTCCGTTGGCAAAGCAATTTGCGTTTGTATGTCCTTTGCAGGTCCAAGATGGACATTTGACGAGATCAATGAAGAGCCGTGTTTATTAGTCAGCGGCGCCAAGAGTGAAGCTTATCGATAAAGTAATTTACTGTATTTTCGTTACAAGATTTTAATACCGAAAAAAACGAATGTGAAAAGCAGCAACTGAGCATCAATAACACTGAGACCTTTTTGCTTGAGTCTTTTGTCTTTTGTTGACCTGTTATCTAGAACATGCTAGTCTAAAGCTTTTGTTTGTCCCTGTTCTACAGTTCTTTGTCATCAGATCCTAGTCTCGCCATGGCACTGGATGCTGAAAGGAAAAGCAGCAAGACAGTATCAGGATCACAGCCGATAAAGGGCAAGAAACGAAAAAGGGAAGATGCTGCTCATGGCCCCGACAAAGGGGACCACTTCTCCAAGCGAGCCGCTCTCAAGAACGGACCTGCACCAAAGGGGAATCACCCCCGAGACCAAGCACATACCGGCGTAAAGAATATTTTACCAAATGGCCCTTTGAACCTCCCAGCGCCCGCCGGCGGCAAGGGTAAAAAGCAACCCTCATCCTTGAAACAAAAGGCCAATGCGCTCTTTGAAGTGCGCAAAAAGCTACCCATCTTTGCACACGCGGACGAGATTCGCCAGCATCTCCGGCGGACCGACGTACTGCTCCTTGTCGGCGAGACCGGCAGCGGAAAGAGTACACAGGTCCCTCAGTTTCTCGTTGACGAGGACTGGTGCTGTGCGAAGACGGTCAAGGTCCGCTCGCCGCCGTCGACTAATGGGAAACGACGGACGGTCGAGGTTGGTGGGTGCGTTGCGATCACACAGCCAAGACGTGTGGCAGCGGTGTCGCTGGCGAGGAGGGTGGCGGAGGAGATGGGTACTCCGTTGGGAAATTCGTCGCCGGCGAGTAAAGTAGGTTACTCGGTCAGATTCGATACGTCGACTTCCCCGAGCACTAGGGTGAAATTCTTGACCGATGGGATGTTGTTGCAGGAGATGCTGAGTGACCCGTGGTTGACCAAGTACAGCGTGGTGGTGGTGGATGAGGTCCACGAACGGGGTGTCAATGTGGACCTGCTGCTGGGGTTTTTGAGGAATTTGGTCTCTGGGACCAAGGAGGGAAGAGGCGGTGTGCCATTGAAAGTGGTGGTAATGAGCGCTACGGCTGATATGGAGAGTTTGCTCACCTTCTTCTATCAAGGACTAGAGGAAAAAGCAGCATCTCGTGTTGCGAGTGACAATGCTGCGAATGCGGAGAACGGAAGGTCCGACTCCGAGCGGAATACTGTCGATGGTAAGACTTCAACTAGGACAGTGGAAAAGCTTCGTCCTGTTGAGCCAGCCGTGTGCCGTATCAAAGGGCGAATGTTCCCGGTTACGACTATCTATTCTCCTGAACCTGTCCCTGACTTTGTGGATGCCGCTTTGAAGACAATATTTCAGATACACTACAAGGAACCATTGCCCGGTGACATTCTTGTTTTCCTCACCGGACAAGAAACCGTGGAATCACTCGAATATATGGTCAATGACTATGCACATGGTATGGATCCAGCTTTGCCAAAAGTACTGGTGGCCCCGTTATTTGCTGCATTGCCGCAAGCTGCGCAACAGCAGGTTTTTCAGCCAGCGCCGCCGAGAACGAGGAAAGTGATCTTGGCTACTAATATTGCGGAAACCTCCGTGACGGTTCTTGGAGTTAGATATGTTGTCGATTGCGGCAAAGCCAAAAATGAAACAATTTCGGACCCGACTAGGCCTGGATTCTTTGCTTGTGAAACCCATATCCAAATCTGCGGCTATTCAGCGAAAGGGCCGAGCCGGTCGAGAGGCACCCGGCCAGTGCTATCGACTCTATACCGAAAAGGACTACTTGGGTCTGCAAGAAGCGAATACGCCAGAAATATTACGGTGCGACTTGACCCAGCCGATATTGACGCTGAAAGCACGAGGGGTCGATGATATCATGGGATTTCCGTTTCTGACCCCTCCTCCCAGAGAAGCGATCGAAAAGGCTTTGTTGCAGCTCTTCAATATTCAAGCACTAGAGGAAACGGGTAAGATCAGTGCAATCGGGAAGCAGATCGCCAAACTCCCTCTCACAGCACCGTTGGGTCGCGTTCTCCTCGCCGCTGCTGATCATGGGCAGAGATGCTTGCAGGATGTCATTGACATTCTCTCCTGTCTGAGTGTAGAGAACATCTTTCTTAGCACGACATCCGAGGAGAAGAAGGAAGAGGCTGAAGAGGCGCGACGAGACCTGTACCGCAGAGAGGGAGATCATCTGACGATGCTGGTAACGGTTCGTGCGTATTCAGCGGAAAATTCTGACCGTAAAGCATGGGCAGAGAGGCATATGGTATCGCATCGGGCTATGCAGGCCGTCATGGTACGTATTCTACGCATTTTCATACTTTGAGCTGGAACTATCTTGTTCGTTCTAACCAACGATTCAAAACTAGGACGTCCGCAAGCAGCTTATCACGCAATGCAAGCAGGCCAAACTGTTTGATGCCCAGCAATCCAGCGACGGAGACAAGCCAAAGGCCGCCGCAGATCCCACTGCCAGCGAGTCTTACGACCCGGTTTCCATTCTCCGGAGTTTCCTTGCAGGCTTCGCGTGTAACACCGCGAGGCTTTTTCCAGATGGCAGTTACAAGACCATCGTTGGGAACCAGACTGTCGCCATCCACCCATCCAGCGTGCTTTTTGGGAGAAAGGTCGAAGCCATTGTGTATAATGAATATGTATTTACCAACCGGAGCTACGCGCGCGGCGTGAGTGCGGTGCAGATGAACTGGATCGGAGAGGTGCTGGCGGGATCGTAGTTGATGTACGAGCATGTATTCGCATTCCGCCGGATCTTAGCTGATAGTTATCTATAGATAGCACAGGCTGGTCGGCTACTAAATAACACTCTCGGCCCACGATATCGCCTTCCAACGCTCTCATGAACAGATATCTTGACTCTATTCCAGTGTTCTAGAGTAAAGCACACGAAAATGTTACGGAGCACACATTTCGACTGCGGGGACTGGCTTTCCAACGGAATCGGAGACAGCTGTCAAGAAGGGCGGAGACGGTGGATAACTATTGAGTTCAGCGGTTGATAACAACGGGCTGATCTGACATCACGGGCGATCTGGACAGGATAGCATCATCGACGAGACCGGCATCCAAGTCTCTCGTGTGGTTGTTGATTTTAAACCTGCCAGCACCCTTGCGTATTTTTTTTACTTTTTTTTTCTGAGCCCTCGACTGCGTTGATGGGATTTTGTTGAGCAATTTTATTAATTTTTTCCGTTTCATTGTGAGGCCAAGTGGGCGTTCTCCCCTCTTGATTGGGGTGTTGATCATCAGATCCCTGATAGTTCACTACTGCCACCAAACCTCGCATCACGGATGACCCTGACTCTTCACCACAAAGAGACCTGGGCGGCCTTTTCTCGATCATTGCTACGACAATAAATCCGCAGGCATGTCCTCAACGATTTCTTCCTAGTTCGAGCCGTCGCTTTCACCGCCAGCCTTTGCGAGAGCGCTATTCTCTCGCGTCATCCTTCCCCGGATTCTATTGTTAACCCCAGAATAACCTCATTCTTGTACTCCAAACAAATCTCGCGATTCCTATAACGAACGATGGCCTTTCGTGTCCCCAGTCAAGTCCACCATCAGAGACGCTCTTCTCTTCAAAATGCCTCTCCGCGTCCTGCTCCCCCGGCCGTCCAAATCACCCCCTCGACATACAGCCCGCGCGAGGAAGAGTCGCAGGAATGGGTGCTCTTCTCCCCAGAGACTGCTCCGTCGACGACAGCCCGCACACATACGACGTCGACGGAGCGGACCCCCCGTACAGCCGGGCGATCGCGGTTGAGTGACTTTGGTTCGCTTGGTACCGCTCTCCAGTCGGGCACCGACCTAGAGCACGACCATGATGATTTGCTGGAAGAGGATGCCACTGAACTTGACAGTCTTGACGATGGCTTACACGCCTTCCGTGAGCCTACTCCCTTTGAACCGGCGCCAGATCAGTTTCAGTTGCACCAGAGCGATCCGGCCGTACTGCCAGCGCACGACGGACTGGGGACATTCGCTCCAACCAGCTTGCATATCCAGGAACAATTATGGCAACATGAGCCATTCAACCCTCTCAGAAAAGGAGAGACAAGACCTCGACGCAGGTCAAGTGTACAACGGCATTTGGATTCTGTTGATGAGATGCAGAATTGGGATATGGACAAGGATAGGTGGCAGCGGATTGAGCAATGGCGCATGGAGCAAAGCAGGGCCCTGCTGCAAGAAATAGAAAAAGAAACGAGACGAAAACGATACAGCCGACAGGGTCGTGTTATTCGACCAGCCCAAGGCGTTGAAAGGCAGCCTTCAAGTGCTGCCGTTGAGACTGTCACCGAGTCTAGCGCCGCCAGCGGCGAAAGCCAAGCAGATGCTTCCCAGGAAGGATCAAAAGAGAATCTTGAAGCGGAAGAGTCTTTTTGGAGACGGATTACGCGTAAAGTGATTCGAGACCTCATCGGCATTGACGATGCTATACTTGCCGTTATCTTCGGCGAAGCTCTTGTGGAAGATGTCGAGGAAGAAAAGCATGGCCAATCCGAACATGCTAGGAGCCAACAAGACGAACAATCAAAATCGAAAATTAGAATCGATACTGAAAGACCAAAGGACCTGGACGAAATGCTGAAGGGTGTGATCTCACCGTCGTCATCTTCAGCAGTATCTAGTGATGGGGAGTGGCAGCAACGACTACTGGATCGCATCGCCCGAGAGCTGGGTGTCCTAGTTCATCAGCTCTGCGAGCATCCAGGCGCGTTCTCAACTTATTTGAACACGTCTGCCTCGCCGCCCAGTGATTTCCCAGGCATCAGCACCTCGAAAGCACCTTCGTTTTCATCTCAATCGCGACCTAGAACCTCCAGGTCTGCATCGTACGGTAGCTCTAAAAACTCACCTGCGGAATTTACTCCAACCTTTACCCCAACCCTCCAAGACACTGCTGGGCCCAACCACGCTGCTCTGTGGGGTATTGAGGAAGAAGATCCGCTGAATGCAAACGGAAGGCAATCTTCAGCGGACGCCCCTCATTTTCCCCGTTCAGAAGATGGCGAGTACTGGGAGCAGGACCTAGATATGAAAATGGTTTTCCACTACCTCTACAAAACCCTTGCCGGCAAAGCCCCATTCTCGAATGATGGCACCTCCACTCCGAAACCTTCAAGTCCCAATGGGCAAGAAGGACAAGATGCGTCATGCCGTGCAGCCATAATACGGCATCATCATCCCCTGGTGGCACGGGCAGATGCACACGCCCGTTCCCACCGCCCGCCTCCGAGACACTGGCAGACCAGCTCTCTGGCACAGGACTCCGCGCCGGCAGGATTAACAACCCTACTACTGCTGCTGCTGCTGGTACTCCCTCGTCAGCTTCTCGCTTTGCCGGCTCTTCTTCTAGTCCACTTCTCTTCCATCGCCTCCACCGCCCGAGCTCAAGCTGTGCGAGCCAGAGCACTCTTGTTTCTTCCACCAAAGGCCCGCTTGGTAGTGGATCAAGCAGACACTACTGGGATATTGGTGGCAGTGTGGGCAGTGGCAGTGCTATTGTGACCGTTGGCGGTGCAGGTGGGATGGGAAGCTGGGGTGATGTCTGATCATTGTGCTATTTTTTTGGGGGGCACGGGGCCGTGCCCTGGAGCCTGGCTGTTGGGCTGTTTGTTATACCCTACTCTGGTGTCTGCGATAGGAGATGTTTCATGGCGAGGATGGTGTTGGCGAACTTAAAAAATACCAGTAAACGATGTGTCGTGGGAAAATCCCGGAAATGAATTGAATGATGATTGGGATGATTTATGAGGAATAACTTCTCTGGATGTGATTGCTGCTGGGATATTTAGAACACAGCCCCTTCCCCTATATACTTTTTTGTCACCTCACCTGGAATGTGAGGCTCTAATAATACTCCCTTTCTTTTTTGGTATCAAGTTCCTACCGCCGAAACTTCCTTTTTGGAAACGGGCTTCTTAGATTTCACTGGCGAACGGGATACCATCTTAAAACGCATGGATGTAGACAATGTGAAAGATGGGATATGAGCCCATTTGTGATGAATTAGGTAGAATTTCAGAGGACGAAAACCGATCTTGAATTGATGGCAGAATAACGCAGAGATATCATCATCACGGAATAAAAACAATCCCATCAAGCCAATAGGTTCACCAGTCCCCATTTAAATTTTCCTTTCGTTAAAACAGAAAAAAAAACAATCCCCTTACGCCTGAGAAAGATTCTCATAAGCATCAGGGAAGCGCTTCATATTACTCGCAACATTGCCCTTGTTTCTCAAGAATTGCACATAAGCACCGTCGATCTTGACCTTGCCCTCCTTGCGCAACTGGACGTATTCCTCGCGGCGGAGAGGAGTGAAGCCCCAGTTCTTGCTGACGATGATCTTCTGGCGACCGGGGAACTTGTACATGGAGCGACGGAGAGCCTCGATGGCAGCGGCTCGGTTGGAGTCACGTGTGCGGACGCTGAGGAGGATCTGACCGATGTTGACACGGGCAACGACACCGTAGGGCTTGCCGAAAGCGCCACGCATACCGGTTTGCAATCTATCGGCACCGGCACATGACAACATCTTGTTGATGCGGACGACGTGGAAGGGGTGGGCGCGCACGCGGAGGTGGAAACCTTCCTTACCGCAGATCTTGACGAGGTATCTTGTGTTTTGACACACGTTAGCTGTTGGAAATCGGGAGGATTGAGAGAAGGGGGGTGTTCGCTTACTTGTTGGCGCAGATACGGGCAGCTTCGAGAGCCTCGGAGCTCAACTGTTCGTATTCGTTGGAAACCATGTGCACGCAGAGAGGGAACTCATCGGTGTTGGCCTTCTTACGACCAAGATCGAAGATCTTGATCTTAGGGTCTGGCACACCACGGTTGAAGCGGGACTTGGGGTATGGCTATCGAGTAAAGAAACCAAGGGTTAGCTTGCGATCCCTATCAAAACTCGCAAAAGTTGTATCCTCCATCTAAGCTATTCAGCAGCTCCCGCAAACCCCAGAGCTCGCGACAGCATCCATTTCCATCGTAGCACCGCAAACAACATCCGAGAAAGCCGCGTCCATCATCGAAAAAAAAGGGAACAGGCCACACCAACCTTGTTCTTGCAGTAGCGATAACATCTCGCTGGACGACGGGCCATTTTTGCTGATTCTGATCGGAAAAACCTGCACTTCCTGCGAACGAGTAGATGTCGATAATGGAAAAGGCGTGCGAGATGTCGTCGGATTCACAGGTCGTCGTCGCCGTCGTCGAAGGAATTAAATCTTGGATCTTTTGATTTCCAATCATTCTCCACACAATGCGTGTTGTGGCGGAACCCTGAGCCCTAATTGCCGCTTTGGGCCGAGTATTACTAATCCAGTTGATATCAAACTGACTGCGCCGACAACAATCGACAGTCACGGCGAAAACGACGATGATCAGGGCATTACGATTGGGAGTGGTGGCTGATAGGCTAACTACAACTATGCCAACAATGATCCAAGTGTAAAAAGTGAGGACTTGCGATGCATCCGTGCCACTTCCAGCACGCCCCGTGGCGGATCTGGTTCGAGGGAGATACACAATATCCAGCTACGGAGCTGGATACTGGCTCCAAGATAAATTGCCCTGCTCTTGCGTGCAGCTCAAAACCCTGAAGCGCTATGTTTCTCTTCACTGCCTCATCCAGCGCGTGCTTTTCTCTTGTTGGTGAATATTATTAGGAGGTCCTCTCTGTCGGCCATCCTCGACAGGGGTTGTGTTCCTGACAGAATTCGCTCGTTCCTCCAGCTTGAATCCCTCCACTGCGACATTTGCCCGGGCCCAGGGAATCCCAGCAAGCCGTTGTGCTCCCCGACCCAAGCAACTCGTTCACCCCCAAAGGATCATCCAGCATCCAGCAGTTTGTTTTGACAATTTGTTTCGTGCTCAAAGGGCTGGTCACGCTCTGTATTAGTTACACTCTTGGCGGCTTGTCCCAGCGAAGAATAGCTGTAATTGAGCGTATGGAGGCCGTAAATCTCTGAAACAACGCTAGCTGGCACCGAATCCCGTAATGTCACAGCGACTTTAATGAGCAATTGGGAGCTGACAAGTCACGATCGCATCGCCGTCGCCGTCGTTGATGCTGTTGCTGTTGCTGCTGTTGTTTCGGAGCTTTGCACTGATCTGGTTACTCTAAGCATTCTCTGTGCTTTGTCTATCAGCCTGGAATCTTCACCGGCCCACGCGTGCTCACGTTACATGCCACGCTGCCCTGGTCACTAACACCGGCGAAACCTCAGCAACGCGGAATATTTTCTCGAGGCTTGCATTTCGCCCTTGAGCCTTGAGGTCTCGCTCAGTTCAACAACCAGACATCCCCCCATTGAACTGAAAGAAACTCTCCGATATTCGTGCTGCTGGCAGTCGATGCGCGATGGCGAGCTCTGCAAGAAAGCCCTCTACACCTCTCTCCTCCCACGGCAATCGACGGACTTCCACCGACAGTCACCATTCGTCGCCCAATGGATCGCCCAACGGTCTCGGACGGTCCTCGTCCACAAGACACTCCCCCGCACCAGTTTCCGCCCGCGCGGCAGCAAGGAGGCCTCCTGGTCGCTCCAACCTGAGCATGAGTAGCGTTCCGCGAAACTTCATGAACCCCCAGGCCGACGACGATGCTAGAGCCGCAAATTCCACCCTGATCGGGGAACTCAGAGAGCAGCTGCAAAAGGCAGAGCTTGTTTCGGAACAGTACCGCAAACAGCTGGGAGTCCTACAGATGCGACTGGATGAAGCCGTTGAGCAACAAACACGTTTGGAGGAGCAAGCGCATGAGAAGGACAGCAACGCCGATGCCCTGCGTGATGAAGTCAAAGAGCTTTCCCGGCAACTTCGCGATATGGAGCAGACGCATGAAACTGAAAGAGCAGCGATGATAAAGGACAAGGAGGCCCAAGCCAGCAGAGAGGAGGAGCTCAAATCCACCATCCAGCGCCTGAAGGAGACTATTTCTCAAAAAGATCTGCGGATGAATGTGGAGAATGATCGTACTCTATCTCGCTCTCGTAAGGCTCCGTTCCCAAATTAGATCAAAATCCATTGCTCACTGACCCTCACCTAGCCTCTTTCCGAAATCGAGCCTCCCAAGATGTCGAGAATGGACAGTTTGCTCCCTCTTCGCAGCTCCAGCGTAGCCCATCGCGGAATAACTCGAAACTGATCTTACAAAAGGACAAGCTCATTGAGTCCTTGAGGCTAGAGTTGGCGGAATCTCAGATCAAGTTAATTGAGATGGAAAACATGGGCGGCGGTCGCCAGCGGGATCTGGAACGGGAATTGCTTGAAGCCCGGATGGCAAATGCTCGCTTAATGGAAGATAACGAGAGTTATCAACTGCTTCTAAGCGAAAAGACCCTAAATGGTGATTTTACTAAAGGGGATTTCATGCATCAAAATGCTGCCGATAACCAGCTTAACACAACGGGGTCCGGCTCGTTGGCGGACGAACTAGAGTCTGCTGCCGAAGGAGGAGAAGCAGAGTCACGCCGTCGTCTTGAGGCTGAGCTCAAAACGCAAGTTGACCACAACAAGGCCTTGAGTCTTTATATAGAGAGAATCATCGGCCGCCTCCTACAGCACGAAGGGTTCGAGCATATCCTGGACAAAAGCGAGAATGATGTTCCTCGTAACCCCACAGCCAAAACCGCTGGGTTGGATAAAGAATTGCCCCCGCCGCCCCCTCAAGAGAAGAACGAAGCCGGTGGCCCTACGCTCCTTCAGCGCGCCAAGTCTGTCATGGCCGGCCAGGCAACACGCCCCAAGCCTCGACCTGTCAGCCAGCTCATGCAGGCCGCTCCAGGCCAAGATCAACAGCCCGCATCGCACTCGACACCGCATGAAAACCCGGAAACGGCTCCCAGCATTCCCCTTAACCGCTCTCGAACAGTCCAACATCGCCGAGCAAGGTCAGATCAGGCCGATGGAATTGCAGCAGCCGCTGTAGTTGGTCAGCTGTATCGCGGCTCTGCTGGGCGATCTCCACCGGTTGGCCCTATGAGTCCAGGCATTAGTCCGACAATGTCTCAAGGCCCGTTATTCTCTGGCTCTTTCTCCTCAAAACGCAATTCGGGCAACTCGACGCACGGAGCCTCGATGTCAAGCAGGGGGGGTGAGCGTGACAGTGTTCTGAGCGATCGCAGCGGTGAAATAGCGTCCCAAGGAACTAATTCATCACCGCCCCGTCATAGCTCTGGTATGAATAACTACACCGGAGCTGTGATGACCCAAAGCAAATTACGCCCTCTACGACTCGTCCAAGAGAATAGGGAACTCGACAGTGGAGATCAAGGCGGCAAGACCTCGGACGATGACGAGGCTGCCCGAAAGAAAGCCAATCGAGGAAGCTGGATTTCGTGGTTCAATCGTACGAATTCAAACTCGTTTGAGCCGCCAAAGACGCCAACTAGTTAGACCGGCGGGTAACCCCCAAGTTTTCAAGTTTGATCATTGATATATCTCGCAATTTAAGCCGTCCGATATCACGCTTCTCTATCGGAGGAAGACGTTATGCCATTTTTTCTTTTCTCTTTTTTTATTTTTGGTTTATGATACGGTGTATTAATTTTATGGAATACCTGATGGAACTATTTTTCTTTTGGCCAGCATCCCCCTTTAATGTTAACTCTTGGATTCTCTCCTATTATGTGGAATGACTTTATTGCTTGAACTGACACAAATAATCTGCTTGTGTCCATTAAGGCATCTGCACTTGACAAAACCACTGACCAAAACCTGTACAAGCCTTTCCCGTCATGCTGTCTTGGTTGCACGGCCGCGATCTCCTGACGAGTGTTTGGTACCCGCGCTGATGCCCAAGGTTTGTTATGCAGTGCGACATTGGCAGCAAACAATGCTTGCTAACGCCTTGACATATTTTGTATCCTCGCCTATGTCATATACCCTTTCTCATTTATATAAAGATTGTAGTTTTATGTTTTTGGATTATGTTTTTTGCGCTTTTTGATCCCAAAGACGACTAAATGGGCTTGGAGGATATTACAACCGTTTTCAATTCTGTTTGCTTTAATCGAAACCCTTAACCGGATATTCCTATACTGCATTCCATCACCATAACTTCCTCTTAGACACATCTCTTTTGGGCTGGCAATTTTCAGTGAGAAAATCCATAGCCTGGCAGAACGCAAGCATGGATTACTGGGATCCGTCGTTAGATTTCTGGTATAGTCATACCACACACCAATACCCGAGACCTCCCTTCCATCACAGAAGCTATCTCCACCCTGCCTCTGATCGATGGAGTCAGCGCACACCCATCCGAGAAGAGTTCTTTGGAAATGGGCATTTTCCCGCGTTGTATCGCGATCCGTGGGATGATGAGCTTCCCACCTGGGCCACACATGAGTGTTGGGGCGAACGATATCCCCAGCACCTAAATGCCGAACGTCATCATGACCAGGAAGATAGGGCGCACGATAGAGATTACGGCCTATACGATACGTCAACCTTGTTCTCGGTTAGTGAGTCGATGGGCGAGGCAGAGAGAAATAATCGCAGCGACCCGTATTTAGCAGATAACGAGAAGGCGAGTTCGAGTAGTGAGGTGCCATCGAAGGATTCACGAGAGAGTCGTGCACTAGGGGACGGAATGTGTGCGCCACAGAGCCCCGAAATTTTCTTTGCCGAGTCCCTCAAAACACTACGTGAGTATTTGCTGGACTTGAAACAGGAGCGAGAAAAGTTCCGCCAGGAACGGGTGGAGTTGGAGAAACTTCGCGAAACCTTTGAACGCATTGTAGAAACATGGTGCGAGAACAGGTTGGGAGTTTGGAGGATTCAACAAGAGCCGGGTCGTGATAATGAACCTAGTCGGTCACCTCAGAAGCAGCATGAACGGCGACAGACGTGTGAACGCAGCCTTGAAAACACTGCCTTTGAGCGCTACGACAACAAATGGTTGGAGGTCCAGCTGGCGGAATTAGGCGATATGGACGCCATCAACATACCTTGGCCTACCCGAACGCTGAAAATGGATGGCCTTTCAGAAATACCTGCGGAACTTCGAACCTGCTTCCTCCACGGGCGGGTGAATGCACCTGATGACTCGCTCTTACGACAATGGAATGCATTCACGTTCTTCCTGGCGGCGTTTGACCTTAAACCTGGTGACCCGCAACACTATTGCGGCAAAGGCGCCATGCGCACCGACGATCAGTGTCATTTGAATTTCAACATACAGGTGCGAGGGAGATACAATCTCGCCAAAGTGCAAAAGCTAAAAGCAAAATTGCTGGAGGAGAAACGGAGATGGCATCCGGATGGGCAAAGGAGAAAATGGCGATTGCGCCAGGGGTCAAACGAGGTTGAGGAGGAATGTGCAAAGGCGGTGTTCAATGCTGTAGTCAACGCTTCTACTGTCTGTGGACGGTTGTTGAGCCGTGCTTCCGACTTTCGAGGCTCGTAGGACCAAGTCTTCAACTGTGTTCAATAGTGAATTCTCGTTGCTTCTGCGATCAATATATATTGTGATGTGATAAGATAACTAACTACGGAGTACGAAGTAGCTAGAACTAAGCTCTTGATGCCAACACGTGACCCCGCACCACGTTGCGGATTGACAGCTCTGGCGACAAGACAATATCAGACAGACGGCTGCTCGCTCAATTCCTAGACCAATTGGCCCTCGAAACTGTCCTGCATAACTACAGTCAAGATGCCGGCTCCCCTGTCTCTTTTCGCCGTCAACGCGATCCTCATTATGTCCACGGACGACTCCTCGCGCATCTTCGCAAAGTATTACTCTCCCCCACACCCCCCAGCGGGCATTTCGCCCAATTCGCTCGATTACCCCGGTGCAAACCCGTATCCCACCTTGAAAGACCAGAAAGCGTTTGAAAAGGGGTTGATGGAGAAGACAAACAAGCAGACCAGCGACATCGTGCTGTATGACAACCGCGTGGTCGTCTTCAAGATGGAGAGCGATGTGATGTTATATGTGATCGGCGGGGCGGAAGAAAATGAAGTACTACTCTATAATGTGGTCGTCTCGCTAAGGGATAGTCTGGCAATACTCCTTGGGTGAAGATTCCCCGTTTATCCTATGTCGGGGCCGTTTCGTTCAATGAAGCCGCGATAAGCTAACATATGCTCTTTCGCTGTCACTAGTGGATCTACCGATAAACGTACGATTGTCGAGAATTACGACATCGTTGCTCTTGCCGTCGACGAAATCGTCGACGATGGAATTATTTTGGAGACGGATCCTGTCGTCGTTGCGTCGCGTGTCAGCAAAGCCCCTGCGCCCGATGCGCCGAACATGAAGAGCATCGATCTCTCAGAGCAGGGACTATTAAACGCATGGGAGTTTGGGAAAAGGAGACTTGCTGAACAGTTGCGGCAGGGACTGTAACTGGCTGTTGGCTCTCGATGTATCCGTTATTCCCCTCGAGTGGGCATTTCTTTTTGTTTTGGGCGTGGCGTAAACGGGCTCCTATGGGATTGTTAAGAGGACCGAATGCTTTCTAATAATGGGCCTTTATTTTCTTTTCCTAAGTTTTCGTCTCTTCTGTTGTTGATATAGATTGCTTTGTTTCCGGCGAGCACTGAAGGCGACAAAATTGGGATTAATAATGACCGCTGAACTTTGACCTGCTTGTCTGCCATGTAAACGAACTCGTTGACAGTTCTCCTCTCCAAATCAGCGTAGTTATTGCGCATAAGAGTGCTGTCACCCGACTTCATACCACCGAAATCGCATGTGTGCAAGTTGGAGTTTGTGGCCCGCCCCCGCCGACGTCACTGTGTCAACGAGACGAAATTCATCCCTCAGCCGCTTTCAAGTCAACGCTTGAGAAGACCGTTTTCATTCGATTGCACATCAACCAGAACGAAATGAAGCAAAGATATTCTTCACTGGACGTCCAGGTAGGCCATTGCCTGAACATTCCCGGTGATTAACTCCACGACTAAAGGGCGCATAGGTTATATGCCGCGAACTCTCCGCCGCCTTGGTCGGCCTAAGGATAGCGAATATATACGACTTGTCTTCGGTATGCTTGCCTTCTATACAAGCTAGATTCGCTCGTCCTGCGTGTTGACGACCCATCAATAGCGCATATACCTTTTTAAGCTTCAGAAACCCGACGTCCGCAAGCAGATCGTCATCGACTCTGGGTTTCGCTGCCACCTCACAGAATATACCCGTGCAACAGCTCCTGCGCCATCGCACTTCGTCAGCCGTCTCCGACAATTCCTTAAATCCCGTCGCGTCACAGCTGTTTCTCAGGTCGGCACCGATAGGATTATTCACATCGAATTTAGCGATGGACAGTTCCACTTGTTGCTGGAATTCTTCGCCTCGGGAAACATCATCTTGACAGACAACGAGTTTAAGATTGTGTCGCTTCTGAGGATTGTGCCAGAGGGTGAAGAACAAGATGAAATCCGGATTGGGTTGATATACAGACTGGATAACAAGCAGAATTACGGCGGGGTACCTCCGCTATCCGTGGACAGATTGAGGACTGCATTGGAAAGGGGGAAAGAAAGAGATGCTTCCCAGCCAGAGGCCACAACTAAAAGAGCCAAAAAGAAGCAGGATGAAGCCCTGAGAAGAGCATTGTCTCTTGGTTTCCCGGAATACCCGCCATTGCTCTTGGAGCATGCTCTTCATGTCACCGGCTTCGATTCCACTTTGCGGCCCAACCAGATACTGGAAGCGAGTGACATGATTGATGAGTTAATGCATGTACTGGAGGAAGCGCAAAGAGTTTCAGGGGAGTTATCAACAGCTGAGCAGACACGGGGATATATCATCACACGAAATGAAAATAAACCGTCGGAACCCCCTACCCAAGGTACAGAGACAAAGCCAGACAAATCAAGCTACATTGACTACCATCCCTTTGAGCCCAAGCAGTTTGCCGATAACCCGGACACTCGTATACTGCCACTTGAGAGTTTTAACAAAGCTGTGGATGAATATTATTCGTCCGTGGAGGCACAAAAACTAGAGTCTCGGCTCACGGATCGAGAAGAGACGATGAAACGAAAACTAGAAGCTACGAAACGGGACCATGAGAAAAGAGTTGGAGCTTTGAAAGAGGTTCAGCAGTTGAATGTCCGAAAAGCTCAAGCCATCGAGGCGAATTTGTCCAAAGTGGAGGAGGCAATCAATGCTGCCAATAGCCTGATTGCGCAGGGTATGGACTGGGTCGAGATCGCCCGCCTCATTGAAATGGAACAAAGCAGACGAAACCCGATTGCCAAGATGATAAAGCTCCCTTTGAAGCTGTACGAAAATACGATTACAATCCTACTGCCGGATGGAATGCCTGTTGATGACGAGTCAGAGTCAGAGTCAGAAGATGAAGACGAGGAAGATGAAAGCGGCGACGAGCCTGAAAAGAAATCTCGAGAGCCTGAAGTTCTCAGTATTGATATTGACTTGGCTCTAACCCCGTGGGCCAATGCAAGCCAGTATTATGACCAGAAGAAAACAGCTGCAATGAAAGAGGACAAGACCATTAAAGCCTCTAAAAAGGCCCTCAAAAGTGCCGAGAAGAAAGTCACTGCTGATCTCAAGCAAGGCCTGAAGCAGGAAAAACCGGTATTAAGGCCTGCAAGAACACCATTCTGGTTTGAGAAGTTCTTCTTCTTCATATCTTCAGATGGTTATTTGGTCCTTGGGTGCGTCTCCCTATGGGCTTGATATCTCGATTATTTTTCTAACTAACTTCATTTTAGTGGTCAAGATGCTCGCCAGGATGAGATTCTATACCACCGGCACCTCCAAAAAGGGGATGTGTACGTTCATACAGATACAGAGGGTGCAATGCCAATGATCATAAAGAATAAACCGGGGGCATTTGATGATCCCATTCCTCCGGGCACCCTGGCACAAGCCGGCACATTTACCGTTGCAACATCACGCGCGTGGGACACAAAGGCGTTACTGGGTGCTTGGTGGGTAAAAGCTGAGCAAGTGTCGAGGACGACCGCTACCGGAGAGTATTTGCCGACCAGCGTTGTGATTAGCGGAGAAAAGAACCATTTAGCACCGGGCCAGCTTATACTTGGATTCGCGGTGCTATTTCAGATTAGTCCGGAGAGTGTAGCGAACCATCGGCGACATCGGCTGGAGGAATCCGGCTCGCCTCAAATCGCGGTTGAAAGTGAAGATGGAAAAGATCCCCAGCCACCTTCGGAACGCGAAGTTTTAGAGCATGACGAGGATAAAGGAGGGGAATTAGAAGAAAAGGGGGAACCGAGTGAAGCCGCTTCGAGTCTTCATCCTCAGAACGATGAGCATGGTGACCTCAATGATTCGACGCCGCTTATGAATGAACCGCAAGGTGAAGTGGATCAATCTAGTGAAGATGAATATGATTCAGCGGACCCTGCCTATCAGCAACAACCAGAAGCTTCAGACACAGCAACAAAGGATTTCTCACATGCGAGAAGCCCAAGCATAAGGGAGGAGGGCGAATCGGTACCGTCTACGTCCCAGCCATCTCGAACATCAACTCCATCCATCCAATCAAGCTCAACACCAAAGAGCCAGCAACAAGTGCGCGGAAAACGCGGCAAGGCCAAAAAGCTCGCATCAAAATATAAAGACCAGGATGAGGAAGACCGAGAGTTAGCTCTCCGTCTACTCGGCTCCGCGCCGAAAGCCGATGCTCCGAAAAAGACTAGGGAAAGCCGTGAAGCGGAACTACAAGCGCAAAAGGAACGTCGTCGGGCTCAACACCATAAAGCTGCACAGGCCGAGCGACAACGACAAGAAAATTTTCACCGACGGCAACAGGAAGGCTTAGACACGGGATATGCAGGGAAGATAGTGAACGACTTGTCGGTTTTGCCAACACTGGTCGGGGCGCCTGTAGTCGGAGACGAAATCATCAGCGCCATTCCTGTGTGTGCGCCATGGACGGCGGTTGGACAGTGTAAATACCGGGCGAAGCTGCAGCCCGGCCCAACCGGCAAGGGGAAGGTAGTCAGAGAAGTGCTAGGGCGATGGGTCACGGGCGCCTCGGCGGCTGTTAAAGCACAGAAGCCCTCTGCAGGGGAGATATTGAAGCTACAGGAGGAGCGAGATCCCGAGGAGGCCAAATCCAGCGAGGATGCGGAAATGAGCTTGACAATGATGGAAGTAGAATTACTCAAAGGTTGGAGGGGAGCGGAAGTCATCAATACGATACCTACTGGCAAAATTAGGATCGTATCTGTCGCTGGGGCGGGCGGGAGTGTTGCCAGCGTGGATGATGGGAAAGCAAAGGGGAAAAAGGCTGGCGCAGGAGCCGGAAAGGCAGGGAAAGGGGCTGCTAAGGGCGGCAAAAAACGATGAATATTGAGAAGACATGAATTAGAGGAAGAGAAGAAGAAAAAAAGTGTGATTTTTCTCTATCAATTTTCAGGGTCAAGGCCGTTGGGAACTGATCGCTCAAGTCCCAGTCAGCATCCGAAGTAGCCTTGATGTAACCAACTGGGTGATAATCATTCATGCATTGTCGTTCGTTCGCCTCAACCTCCCCTCCAGGCCAACCGCTGCGTCAGATACAAGTCGCATATTCTCTCCCGACCTCTATACCCAACTGATGGCACGTCGGATTGATATGTCGGTTCTCACCGGCAAAAATCGCTTAGTGAAAGACGAGCTCATCCCCGTCTACCGTGTTGACGATCGGACAGTGGCAAAGGTGACCGACCCGCACCGGGTAGCTGAAGCTGAAGCGCTACGATTTGTCCGGGCAAAGACTTCCATTCCAGTCCCTGAGGTATACGCAGCATACACGGATGCAAAGACCAACCGCGGTGTAATCCTCATGGAATACATTGAAGGCCAGGTCCTCCGAGACGTCTGGGATGACTTGAGTCAGGGCCAACGACAGAAAATCATAACTACAATTGAAATCTTATATGACAGAGCTACGCTCGATCAAGGGCATCTTCATCGGTTCTGTTGACGGCACGTATTGCGAAGACCCGGTCTTCTGCGCTGACTTTGGCGGGTTTGGTCCCTATAAAACCGAAGCGGAATTCAACGACGGCCTCATCAGAGCGATGAATCTTTCGCAGCAAAACACCTGGGTTGACCATGTGGCCAGACTCGTCAGGGCGTTGCCCAAGCATGAGATCGTGCTCACCCACGCCGACTTTTCTCCCCGAAACATACTCGTTCGCGGCGACGAGGTCGTTGCCATCTTGGACTGGGAAATGGCGGGCTTTTATCCTGCGTATTGGGAATATATCAAAGCAATGTACCACCCTGACTGGCAGAGCGGATGGATCAAAGACGGCGCAGTCGAGCAGATACTACGACCTTATCACCTTGAGCATGCGGTTCTGCTACACATGCAGGAAATCGTCTTCTGAGCGGAAATACCGTTATAATTGCCTATTCAACGGACTGAAGACGCCATTTATGTACAAGCTACGAACGGCTTCGGAAAGGGCGCAGTCAGCCATGGCAGCTGCCTAGCAAGATTACGAGGAGTAGTTATGCCAACACAAGACGCCGCCTACGTGCTCAGGATAAGAAGGGAGTGATTGAAAGGGTTGTACCTTATTTAGACTCAGGCCCCAGCAGTAACGCCGCGAAGATAACTAGACGACGTAGTTATAGGGGAAATAACGTAGGGGAGCCGATAGGGTAGGCCGACTACAATCCAAGAAACTGCTACGTCGACAGCCTCTAATGGTAATCTATAAAAAAAATGGGCAGTTTGTACACTTGAGACTACTCATGTAGTTAGGATATCGATGTTCGTGTAGCCCAAGCGCCAATACAATCAGATGCAGAAATACATTCGTATTTCAACACATTCTCACGGAACCTCATCCCAGCCTGTTGCCCATTTGCAGGGCCCAAAGTTTACGATCGAATCGCTGCTCTAGCAAGGCCTTTGGATCCCCGGCATACTCGAATGTCTTGCCAGACGCTTCTGCTGGTGTCCCATTGTCCGTAAAGAAGATCCAGCAAGGAGCGACCTTGTACGCGTTCGTCTCATAGTAGGCGAGCTTTTCAGCCTGCTCTTCAGACTCCACAAGATACGCAGCCCCAGAGACAACTTGGCCTTGCTCACCGTCGATTAAAGCAGGATAGTCTCCCCATTTGCCCAGAGCGTAGCCGATGATCTGGGCCTTTCTGACTTTTGGTTCTTCCGCAAGGTCGAGAATCCTCTTTATGGTTACAGGAGCAGTCAAAGTGCCGTAGAAGAAATAATAGACTGGGTATTCGGGAGGAAGAGGGTGGGCTGCACCCTCGGGATTAGTGAAATAGTCAGCGGATGCGAGCATAACCTCGTAGGGAGACAAGTCCGTCTCGGGCCCGGCGAGGGCCTGCGACTTGGGTGAATGTTGAGATGAAGGCGGCATTTCCGGGGCTGCCAAACACCAGCTCGTTCGAAGGTGTATTCAGTAATAGGATGTAATCGGTAAGTGAGGAATAATCGTGAGAAATGGGGATTGCCAACAGTGATTCGTGGTTTAACGCTGATCAAGAATAAAGAACTGTAGTTGCCTAGCTAGTTATGTACTTTTGTAGATAGGGGGTATCGAGATCATTTCCCCCGTACGGAGTACACTTGAATTAAGAGCTCATATAACAATGAACTCATGTATTTTTGTAAATATTATCTTAAAATGCATGTGCACAGAAGACTTTGTGTCGGTTTGATTAATGTGATCACTTGTGATGTCAAGTCTAGCCAGGAAAGGCCGTGTGCAATCTACTTTATCTTTAATAGAATAGTTGCTACAATATAAATTGTATCCGCGAAGCATTATTATACCTTGTGCACATTGTCAATCCTATCTATAGGAGATCCTCACTTTTTGCTACTGATTATTATGCGCCAGATTATGCTCCAAAAATTGAAAACATCCGATTTTCACCCGTGCCCTTGTATCTCCAGTCAGACGAGCAATGCAAGCGATTCAACTTTTGATTTCCTCCTCAGCAGCCTTCCGTAGTCTATTCATTATTGCTGCTGCAAGGTCTCCTTCGGTCTCCGGAATGCCTTCGACATATATGGTAGAAACGTTATGTGCATCGAGGCTACGTAACGCAGAAAAAAGACCTCGTGCAATAGAGTGCGTGTCGGCTCCAAGGGATATATCTATCATGTCCATTGCGCAAGGGGGGGAATTTGATTTTGACTCAGAAGAAAGAACGGAGAGTTGTTGGATTTGGGTATCAGGTGGTGAAGGGGTATCATCTAGGCCTAGAGAAGTATCCCTGTGGCCGTTTAGTGATTCAGGGGAAACTCGGTCAACAGGCATGGCTAGACCTTTTTCCCACGTTCTAGTTCGAATAACACCAATTTTTATTGGGCTGGAGGATGCTTGTTCTCGTAATATTCGTTCTATAACCGATGACATAGGCTGACCACTTTCGAATAGGACGACTTTAGCTTTCGGTGAATAATGCCTGTATTTCATTCCCGGTGCTCTAGGCGCGGTCCTACCCTGCAAAGCACCGTCTTTGTATCCAATACGGACATCTTCCCAGCCCCGACACGAGCGTATCTCTTCGATTCCAACCCCACCAGGCCGCAATATTGCCGGTGGCTGGCTTAAGCCGTCAACCACAGTGCTTTCAACTCCCACTCCGCAAGGACCACCGTCTAAAATGATATCAATACGGCCGCGAAGGTCTGTGTATACATGTTGAGCCGTCGTTGGAGAAGGCTTTGTAGAGGCGTTTGCAGAAGGGGCAGCCAAAGGACGGTCGGCGAGTCGAATCAAAAGACGAGCTAGTGAAGAGGATGGCATGCGAACACCGAATGTGGAGAGATTGGAAGTCACTTCGGGGGCCAGTGGCGAATGAGGGGGGTTTGGGATTAGGATCGTTAAGGGACCGGGCCAAAATCGTTGTATAAGAGGTTCATATATAGGTGGGATAAGAGAGGACGATTGCGCAGTAGTTTGCTGAGATTTGGGGCATTTTGGCGGTTGGAGGAGACCTTCAAGTTGTTCTCGAGAATGGACATGGACAATCAGGGGATTGTCCGACGGCCGTTGCTTTGCCTTGTAAATGCCTTGAACGGCGGCACTTCTCGTCGCATCTGCCCCCAGGCCGTATACGGTTTCTGTCGGAAATGCGACTGGGACATCGCGCGTTCGCAACGCTTCCGCCGCTTCTAAAAGGGCCTGTGCCTCCAGGCTATCTCGTCGTACTTCTTCTTCCCATCGCTGTTGGCTATCAGCGTTGCTCTGACCCGGTACGTTCAGACTCTGCACGGATAGTATTCTTGTCCTTTTTACGCCAGTCCCGTTGGCCGTGTTCGGAAGAAGGGTAGGCTTGTGAGTCATTTTCGCGGCCTGTTCTACATGAGCAGCTGCATTCCTCACGAGGGAGGGAAGTGCTCGTAGTCGAAGAGAAGCCGTCGTCGGTATGATAGCAGAACAACACGCAGCGCTTGAGGCAGCAACTTATCCAGAGCCAAAAACACCGGCGAGCAGCGATGAATTGTGGTCGAGATGGCCGAATCGGGTAGTTTTCGAGAACGCTTCTCTTATCAGTCGCTTATGTAAGCCCTTATCTCGCGCAAACAAGGCAAGTAGAGCAAACTAAACAAACAGCGGGGCTCCAAGCGGTTCAGCCAATGAACGCCCGAGTTGTCAGCCTCCTGCAACTCCGCCTCGCTGTCGCTGAATGTGTTCTCCGCCATGCCAATAATTAGTCGACGATGTGATGAACAAGGGAGCGAATGGGCTGGAGGCTCGGTGGCAAGATGCATGCAGTGAGATGGTTGCCTGGCTGCACCCGGATTGAGCCCATTGCATCTCAGCCATGTTCGGGGCATTCCCCCACCAAACCCTTTCCCATTATTATTACTATATAGTCACCGGAAGTCAGGGCTTCGATTCTTTTCATTTCATAAATTAACTACAAGGAATTCCGCGATTGCCCAGCTGGCCCAAGTCAGTTTAGTCTCTAATATCATAGCGCGAATCCAGATAGAATTATGGTCGTTCACACCGTCGAAATCTCGCTCGACAAAGCAGTTACGAAAATGAGTGAAGTTGGACCACTTAGTGCTACCATGCTCGTGAGATCACGGATGTTTTGGTCAAGGTGAGTTGCTCATGATCTTTGGAAGGTGAATAGCACCCAGCGGCTGCTAACGTTTCTCCAAGCCTGGCCCCTAATGAGATCACTATCTATGGTTTTGATCTCGGAGTCGATAGCGATTCTATTCGAATCACGGGGCATGGACAAGCTACAGTGACGGATACTCAAACATCATTCGTGGACCGAAAGGAGGCCTTTGAGGATGTGTTCCCTGAATACAAATCTGAAGATGATTTCGAGTCCCTGGATGAAGAGGACTCTGATGACGATTTTGGAGTCGATAGAACAGAACTGGCAGCTGCACAAAAGGAAAGAACCCGCTTAGTAAACGCATTGAATGCTGCCCGAGACGAGCTGCGCACGTTCGAGACATCAAAGGCCGTGCTTGAAGACTTTGTGGAAGGAAAACACAATGAAATTGATCTCTCTACACTCGCGGGCTATCTCCATCAATACCAACAGGAAAACAAAGAGCTGACGCTGAAGTGCCAGGAAGCTTCTGCGGCTACTGTGGAGTTGGAAAAAGAGCTAAAGACAGCTACAAACCTCGCGACCAAACTGCAACGGAGGTTTGATCGCGCCAGAAACGCTGCAGCAAAGCCAGCCCGCGAAAAAAGGGAGCAGCTGCGAAAGGCCCTCCAGAAGAAATCGTTGCAAAAACGTCAAGAAAAGGCGGAAGCGTTGAGCTTCTGGACGTCCCGAGTGAGGCAACTAGTCGTCCACCTCGACTGTTTCGGGGACTCTTCAGATACCAGTCGCCGTAACTCGATAGCTTCGACCAAAAAGCAAGAGCCGGCTACCGTCCTGGATCCCAATACAGTCAACTTTTCATTGATGTATGTCACTAGAAACGCAAAATGGTCACCTCGCTATGAGTTGACTCTGAATACGCCGACTTCGTCCGGGAAAATGGTCTATCGTGCCGAATACCAAAATACCTCTTCAGAAATCTGGAGGGATGTAAAAATCATTCTTTCAACCTCACAAACCACATTTTCTGGCTTGAACGAAGTCATTCCATGGCTTCATCCGTGGTTCGTCAAGTTACTCAAGTGTGACCCCCTTGAGCCCCCTTCAAAGGGTAAGGATTATTGGCAGGAGGGTTTAGAGAATCGAGTTGAAGTGGAGGCTAGAAAACAGCGAAAACGTGCCGTAAGTGGTCATATATTTAGACCGCCCTATTCCGTGTTTCGGACCTTGTTTCTTTTCTCGAACTAATTGGTTTTGATAGGAAAACGTGCAATTTCGTAGTGTACAGCACATGCAAATGGCACGACACGCAGTTTTTGATCGGCCGCGTGGGTATAATCCACAGGGCCTCCCTTTACCGCCTCCTCCACCCCCAGCAGCAGCTCCGCGCATTGTTGAGAGCCGCCAGTTGGCTCGAAGGAGTGATCCTCGTCCTTTTCACGGATCTGAAGCAGAAGCTGTCACGAGGGTGTCTGAACGGGGCCTAAATTTACCCAGCCTTGTAGAAGACGACGCAACATCGAGTGATGACGATGACGACGTCGCGACCCTGTATGCCGGCTCTAATGCTCTCGTGGTTCAAGAGTCATCACAACAAAACTACGGGCTTACAACCACTTATGATATCCCTGGCGTGCGTACTCTACGCCCGTCCTCAGTGTCGAGACGCCTACAGATAGCCGAGCTGGAATTACCTTCTGTCACTTTCTCTCATCTTGTGATTCCAAAATTGAGGCCCGCCGCATTCCTCAAAGCCAAGGTCACCAATGCTTCAACAACCACCATGTTGCGTGGCGATGCTGGCCTTACGCTCGATGGAATCTTTCTTGGAACTACCAAAATCCCTCACTGTGGGCCGAAAAACACCGCGAGTCTTTCCCTCGGAGTTGACCCGGGGATCCAAGTCAAGTATGCTAAGCCGACGGTGCGACGGTCGACAACCGGTTTCTTTAACAAGGAAGATTCCGCTGTCTTCACCCGATATTGCAGAATCAGCAACACGAAATCAACTTCTGTATCACTTCTGGTTCTCGACCAAGTGCCAACTAGCGAGGATGAAAGACTTCGTATCCGCATCTTGCAGCCCGCGGGCCTCGACAAAGATGGGGATAAGGTCAAAATCGGACCTGATGCTGGCAGCCCCAAATCGAACTGGGGTAAGGGGACTGTTAGCATGGGAAAATCTGGAGAGGTTGCATGGGAACTTAAATTGGAAAAGGGAGCAGATATCAAACTGGTCCTGGAATATGAGGCTAGGATCCCAAGCGGACAGAAGATCGCTGGATTGAATTGAAGGACGAATTCGAATGAACTCATCCTACGACCAAGTCGAGCCATACGGCCCTTCTTGTGTGCTGTTTTATTCACCCCTGTTGATCTGACGCACGGATTTTTGAATTTAGTTCGGATGAAACTTGAACTTGGTGTTGCTAATTAGTTCGCTGTTGATGTGTTATGCGAATAACGATTTTCTTTTCCCGATGTCATAAGCCCTATTTGCTCTATCAAATAAAGATCGAAGGGTACGCCGTAAAAGAAGGCAAACAAAAGCAGTAGCAGAGGCCTCAGGGAATGAGTAACCCTCGATCTATCAGTGCTTCGGTGTAGGTATCCGTTTTGACATTGACGGAGTATGGACCTGGCGAGAGTCGACAAACTGAACGGACCGATCGTCGCTATCAGAAGCTGAGAGTGGATGGCTCGAAATTATCGACACGCATCATCAATCTCCATAAACATCACTAGATATCTTCCAGCTTGTAGACCTCGTAGGCAGGCTCCTCATACGGATGAGCCTTCAGCAACTCTTCCACCGCCTTCAACGCCGTTTCCCTTCCCAGACACAGAACCTCAACCCTCATTTCCTCTACCCTCTCAACCTCCCCCACGCTGCCAATGTTCGGGTTGGCACCTTCGCCGGGGAGGAACTGGCCGGTGCCTAGCGACTGAAAACAGGCCTTGCTGTATTTGCCTTGAGGGTAACTGCCAGCGCCGGTAGCAAACACCGCTTCCTTGCAGGCCTCGGCGTGCGGGAGAGGAACGAAGAAGACCAGTTTATATTTTGGAGCAGGCGGCACGGGTTGAGAGGCCATTGTTCGTAAACGAGGTTGACGGACTGGAAGAGCGGGCGTGAAGGAAACTCGGCTGATGGGACGGTACAATCCTACCTGCTGAACTGATCTCAGTCGGAGACAGGACCGGAGGAATATCATCCTAAGAGTGCATGAATCTCTCATCTCCATCGCTGTTGACAAAGGTCAATGTTGGATGATGACATAAGGCTGAATTCGCGGTTGTCTGATTGGCCCACTGAGGGCCGTCTCCAAGTTGATTATCAGCATCTCGAGATCATAGTCGAAAAAGTGCTTGATTCCGCCTGCTACTATCTCAATTGACGGCGAGGAAGCAAGGCGCCTGTTTCCAACGGCAATCTGCCCGGCTTCTCTTCACATTACATCGGGATGGCGTCAAAACTCGTGCCGTTTACGCTCCGGCAATGCCGCCAATATTGGAGACACATCCCCGTTCGGCAATGCCGTCAATTCACCGTTGCTACTCCGGTTCGCAGTGAAGCGCTTGCTGTGGTAAGCTATAGGATCCCTTGATGGACTCTTTGTTTTACTTGGAAAAGGAACAAAACACTAAGACAACGGCCCAATTAGCACCGAAATAGCCCAGAGAACAATCCCAACATCCCATTCAAATTCACGGAACAAAATCTCAAAGTTATCGATGAAATCGTCAAGAGATATCCTCCACAATACAAAAAGGCCGCCGTCATGCCGCTTTTGGACCTTGGCCAACGGCAGCTGGGCTGGACAAGCATTAGTGTCATGAACGAGGTTGCGCGAATCCTCGAGATGCCTCCCATGCGGGTTTACGAGGTGGCCACATTCTACACAATGTACAACCGGGATCCCGTGGGGAAATATTTCGTTCAGATTTGCACCACCGTAAGGAAGCCCCTAACTCCTGTTCCAAGAAACGGGAAATAGAAAACAACATTGAAGCTAACCATAATCCCCCGGCCAGACTCCCTGCCAACTCGGCGGTTGCGGAAGCGACAAGATCGTAGAGGCCATCACGAAACATCTCGGTGTCCATTCCCACGGCCAAACGACGCCAGACAAACTCTTCACTGTGCTGGAAGTTGAATGTCTGGGCGCCTGCGTAAACGCACCCATGGTACAGATCAATGACGAATACTATGAAGACCTTACTCCCGACACCGCTGTCCAATTGCTCGAGGCGCTCAAGGAATCCGCTCTGGCCGGGGAAAGTGGGAAGAAAGTCAAAGTTCCCGCTCCGGGGCCGTTGAGCGGAAGACATTCTTGCGAAAACAGTGCTGGATTGACCAACTTGACGAGTCCGCTGTGGAGCACGGAGACGCTTAGAACAGATGGGGAGTTGTAAAGTCTTGCTTTATCTTCAGCTAGAGACACAGCGGTATAGAACCGGCTGAGAGAACATGCCATTATTCGCGGCTTTGTATAGTAGCCCCTTACGACAGCCCAGCTGCTTTTTCGCTACTTTTCTTACTTGTTATGTTATGGCGAGCTAGAGTAGCTGTTGCAATGGACAGATTCTACCCAATAATTCAGTGGCCCTTAAGAAATAATAATATTTGTCTCAAGTTTGAATTTATCTTTGCATTCTCCCGTAAAAGCACTCCCGCAGCTCACCGATGCAGTTGTCTAAAATAACCGAAGCCAAATAATAAAAAGCAACAAATCTCGAATTATCAAAGCAAAAGGCCACATTGCTCACTCATCTTCATCGATCCCGTCATCAAAAAGTGCCGCGTTGCTGCCCTCCAAGGGATAGCCTCTCCAATCCGCAATGTCAGTTTCTTGAACTTCAGGCCTCGGAACAGAAATGAACTTTTCACCCCGCTTTACTAGGCATTCCTTTCTACGACGCTCAAATATATTGATTTCGACTGTTTTCAAGGTCAAGAAATGGTAGATGTGCACATGTTTCAATTGGCCGTATCTTCGAGACCGACCGATCGCTTGCGACATGCCAGAGTCGTAATCGTATTGCGACCGGGTTATCAGCGGGTGGAAAAAGACTATATGATTCGCATTTTGGAGATTCCTAGCATCGCAGATTGGTTAGATGTCTGTTGCGTTCCACCCTTTAAGCCGGAGAGGAACATAAAAAACTTACAGTCCCGAAGCGGTCACGTCTCCAAGCGCGAGTATAAGAACCTTGCTTTTGACTTCCTCGGTTCCATTTTGAAAATCGGCCAACGCTTTTCCTGCAACACGGTCATTCGACGTGATTGTCATATAACGGATGTTGGCTTTTTCTAGCACCGCGGACACGGCTGCAATCAGGTCGGCGTACTGAACGAAAAGTAAGACCTGGTCATCTTCAGGGATTCTGCTTGTGTCTTGAAGAAGCTTAACAAGTTCAAACATTTTGCTCCCTCCGAGATCAGCCCAAGATTCGTCTAACGTTCGGGATTCGTCTTCCGCGAAATCGCCTCCTTCAATGACTCTGTATCCCTCCAGGGTCGCGGTACAACCATCACACCCACAGTCACCTTTTCTTCTGCGTAGTTCAAGACATTCTCCGCAGAGCGTATGTCCACATTCTCCCAGAACGAAGATAAGGTTCCTATTTCTCTCTACTTTGCAGCAGTAATGGCAGTGATAGGCAGCATCGTGAGGGGACGTCTGGAAGTATCGAATAGTCTGAAAAACTCTCGACGCCCTGGTTCGTGTACGAGTCTCAGCGATTAACCGACGAATACTATCATTGCAATTGTTGAGGTCTTGGACGATGGCTTTTTCAGTGGTTGGAAACTCTGGTCGTGATTCTCTTGCATTTTGCCGTTTCTGTGAGAGCATTAACTCGTGTCCACAAAGGGATCGAGGAATACTTACCATTTGTGCAGTCGCGTAGAACTTGTTACCATCCACCTCCTTGGAATTGGCTTTCGCAAAATCAAGACATTTTTGGATAATTCTCCTCACTAGATAATCACCTAATTCACCTGCCCCAGTGTCTGTTTCGATGAGGTTCAAGGTCTTATCAAAGTGATTTCTTGAGTCATCGCTGAGTTTGGATCTTAGCCAAAGCCCCAACCTGAATTTTGTCTGCAAATCGGCTCCCAAATCTCTCAGTTCTTTGTAGCGGACATCTAAAATAGTATTCCCTGTCCCCAGTTTTCTTTTCTCAGGGGCAGGCGCGTCGGGATCGGGGGGCGGGTTGTTATCGTTGATGTCGTCGAGGGAAAATAAAGAGCACCGCTTCACAAGTGCCTCTTCCGGACCATCGCTACCACCGATGACCTGGTTTAGGCGCGAGATCTCAGCCGCGTCATACAATCCTCTTCCTTGTCTTCGAATTTTCAGGTTCTGGGCCATTACCTGCACGAACAGCTCAATGTAGAGAGCGCGTTCAGCAGGAGCTAGCACTACTTCGCAAATGTGTTCAGTGAAAGGGATTTCGCCTATCTCTGGCTCGTTCTGTACCGCGTCAGTTGGTTCACTTCACTTTCAAGGAATCCTTACTTTTCGCATAAATTGGTCAAGGAAGTTTTGAGCCATTTTGTGCCGCCTCCTATGCCATGCAGCGCTGCGTCGAGTGATGAATGGTTGAAATTGCTCAACCTCTGCTTAGAGTCAGTTTAGTACTATAAACCAAAACGGAGAGTACTAGTACCTGTCCTGTCGCGTTGAATTGCTTTTAACCTTTCGTTATCGGTTCTTTTGATGTCGTCCTCATCAATCCCTAGATTGATTCCAAGGAACGGAGAGAAAGATTTCACGTCGGCAAAGTCATTCAAAGGCGGGGTGCCAGATAGAATCCATTTGCTTCGCGCAGGAATCGAAAGCACCGCAGAGTAACTCCTTTCCTTCGAGTAAGTGAATTCATCAATGACTAAGCGAGTGAATTCAAACATATGAATAAAAGGATTGCGAACGCGTTTCCAATCGTATTTGGCATCATGAAAGTAGAATACCCCGTCAGCTGGCGGGATATCAGCGTGATGTTCAAGCCCTGTTTTGACTTTCTTTTGCTGATGGGAGCCTGGCTTCAAAGTGCCTTCTGCTGGAGTGCTATCGTCTGCATCCTCCTGTTTCCGCTTACTGGCCTTGTGAGCAACCGGTAAACCAGAGACTATCTTTGAGTGATCGCTGCTGTATTGATTGTCCTTCGCCTCCGGTTTTTCGTTTTTCGCCATTGGAGATATATTCGACTTCGCCAAATGATCCTGGAGCCTTTGTCCCTTCAGTCTTTTAGAGGGATTGTATTTTGAAACAACAGCTTCGGTTTGTAGTTGTTCGTTCTTTGCCTGGATACTGGTACACACGTCAAGGCTCCCGTGGGTGCGCAAGAGACGGACATGATCTCGAACGCCGTTCAAAGCATCCTGAAGCCATTCATCAAACACACGACCATCCCCTTGGGGGACTTCGGGTGTGGCAGCAAACATTCGCATCAACTCATAGTAATTGTTGCCCCGAAATACAGAAGCAGACGCCAACGCAATATCCACCTTTTCAACCTCTCTAATGTTCAGAGAACGAAATGCAGTGAGCGTCTTGATTTGCAGAATGCGGTATTTTGACCCTAGAAACTTGCGGATCTCCCTTAGCCACTGGTCAAACAAATGATGTGGTACCACAATCAGAGTTGCCTTGACTGGAATTGCCGCATTCGCATTGTCAGGAACGGATTTTGAGTCGCTGTCGAATTGTGTGTCGATCAGACCAAGTGAAATTGCTGTCTTGCCATAGCCCACGTCGTCACCAAGGATCCCGCCTCGTACCAGCTTTCTAGCAGTTGCCTTGCCTTCAGCCCGCCAGTTGATAACCGGTAATAACGCTTCAACTACTTCCTCTTCTTCGAAATTGGGGACTTTATCACTCTCCCGAGACCGCATCCACGTCAGGGACCGCAATTGTTCTGGGCGAAGCATGTGGTTTCGGAAGCCTGGAGGCTGAGCATTTTCGATGTCACCTTTATTATTCGTTTCAACCAGCTTTGGGAGCCGTTGGCGCACGAATCCTGTCGTATCAATGCACAAGCGCCATTTTAGTGACGGCTCGTAAAGGGCGCGCGGCATATTGCCAACCGCTTGGTGAAGAAGCGTAAGAATATTTAAACAGATCCGTAAATGCACATACGACTTTTCATCGCGCAACATGAATCCGAGGAAAGGCGCTGGTCGGTTCTTGACACTGCGCTCGTAGAGAGCTGCGTCTTCAGGGTGCTCATATGCACAGATTCGATCTTTTTCATTTCGTGCCCAAGTCAAACGTGGCTTTGGAGGAGCACAAAGAACGCATCCTAGGCGATTCTGTCCTTGGACAGAGGTGACATCAATCCACTCGGAAAAATGAGTGACTGCAATAGCCTTCTGCAAGAGCCACACAAACCTCTGAAGTAGAGCTGGAGACTCCATCAAGTCTGAACGTTTCCACACACCAGCCGCCCAATTCAGCTCGTCTGAAGTAGCAGGAACCGAGCAATTGAAGATAGGAGCATACGCATCCTTACAATGGAGCTGACAAATTCCAGTCACGGCAGCACGGTCCAGTATGTGATAAGTTGCTGAAGCGGAAGGAAGAAAAACGTCCAGGGAGACATCTGTAGCTTTAGCCCAGTTACGGTACCAGCATTTGACTGTCTGAGCTCCCATCCCAAGTTCAAATGCATTCCAGTCAGGTTGTAACCGGGCTATAACCTCTCGCGTTTGGCCGAAATCCAGTCTCGAGTGCTCGGTAGCAAACACCCACGAATCCAGTTGCTCAGGACCAAGTTCCGATGGATCAATGAAGAAGAAGACTGGCTTTTCAGAAACCACGATTCAGCGTATTATGAAGGCTACCGAACGGCCCGCCGCAGTCTGGCAAAAGTTCGTACTTGCCACGTATATCGATGTCCAACTATGATATGTCTACGTCACTACGATCGATCTCAAGGCGACTCCACACCTTTGGATCGCGAAAGTTTATGTCGGTCA